ATATAAATATGGGCTGTTTTTGTCGATACAATGCACATTTATCGGGTACTAGCATCATTTAGTCATGCTAAATTACTGAAATCTTCAAAATTTTAGCATTTGAGTTAAATTTTAGACGGTTTTCGTCTTAAATGGAAGTGGCCGCATTTGTGTTCATTCTTAATATTTAAATGCAAGTTGTATTTGATGATAATACAAAACATATATAAAGGGTGAGAGTGAACACGGATGCGGCCACTTCCATTTTTGACAAAAACCATCTAAAAAATGACATATTATGGCATATTTGATAGATGTTTCATATTAAGCTTGAATTTGAGCGTATTTAATGACTAAATCAGTTAAAATCTTTCACATAAACTAATTGAATCGACTGAAGTAGACACCTAAGTGTTTAAAAAGTGTCCAAAATCTTTCATCAGATGAATCTGAAATTTGAGGCCAATATCGGCCCTTACCGGACCTACTCCTTTTATCATTGGTACAAGGACATCATTCGTAAATATAAATCAACATGCAGACACCTTATACGTTCAGGCATTTCATATCCAATATTTTATGGTAATATTCTTTTTACAAAGCACAAAAATGTCGGCATTCACCTCAAAAGCTAACCAAACCTTTAAACAGACTTATTCGGAAAGGATATAGTTACGATACTGTTGTCAAGTCATTAAGGATTGCATATTTTGGTATTAATATTGATTCACTCATATAGTCTTTGCATCGGAAATAAACACATTTATTCTAAAACCAGTTGTTGGCATGATAAGGGTTATGTTCTTCTCATATATTTTATGATGGTATGATACTAAACCCCCGTAACGGGAGGGATTGTACTTGATTTTCATATGATGAAGACATAATCTTTCAATCAGTTTAATTGAGGTCTGGAGCTGGCATGTCAGTAACTGCTAGTAGTCCTTTGTTCATTTATGTATCATTGTCATTTTGCTTAGTTTCTTTTGTTACCTATTCTGACATCGGACTCGGACTTCTTTTAAACTGAGTTTTACTGTGCGTATTGCTATGTGTTTCTTTATTCTACATTGGCTAGAGGTATAGGGGGAAGGTTGAGATCTCACAAAACATGTTTAATCCCGCCGCATTTTTGCGCCTGTCCCAAGTCAGGAGCCTCAGGCCTTTGTTCGTCTTGTATGTTTTTGAATATTAGTTCATTTATATGTTTTGGAGTTTAGTGTGACGTCCATTTTCACTGAACTAGTACACAATTTTATTTAGGGACCAGCTGAGGACCACCTCCGGGTGCGGGATTTTCTCGCTGCGTTGAAGACCCATTGGTGGACTTCGGCTGTTGTCTGTTCTTTGGTCGGGTTGTTGTCTCTTTGACATATTCCCCATTTCCATTCTCAATTGTATCCCCCCAAAGAACGAAATTGGTAAATCTAAACACATTTATTCTAAAACCAGTTGTTGGCATGATAAGGGTTATGTTCTTCTCATATATTTTATGATGGTATGATACTAAACCCCCGTAACGGGAGGGATTGTACTTGATTTTCATATGATGAAGACATAATCTTTCAATCAGTTTAATTGAGGTCTGGAGCTGGCATGTCAGTAACTGCTAGTAGTCCTTTGTTCATTTATGTATCATTGTCATTTTGCTTAGTTTCTTTTGTTACCTATTCTGACATCGGACTCGGACTTCTTTTAAACTGAGTTTTACTGTGCGTATTGCTATGTGTTTCTTTATTCTACATTGGCTAGAGGTATAGGGGGAAGGTTGAGATCTCACAAAACATGTTTAATCCCGCCGCATTTTTGCGCCTGTCCCAAGTCAGGAGCCTCAGGCCTTTGTTCGTCTTGTATGTTTTTGAATATTAGTTCATTTATATGTTTTGGAGTTTAGTGTGACGTCCATTTTCACTGAACTAGTACACAATTTTATTTAGGGACCAGCTGAGGACCACCTCCGGGTGCGGGATTTTCTCGCTGCGTTGAAGACCCATTGGTGGACTTCGGCTGTTGTCTGTTCTTTGGTCGGGTTGTTGTCTCTTTGACATATTCCCCATTTCCATTCTCAATTGTATCCCCCCAAAGAACGAAATTGGTAAATCTAAACACATTTATTCTAAAACCAGTTGTTGGCATGATAAGGGTTATGTTCTTCTCATATATTTTATGATGGTATGATACTAAACCCCCGTAACGGGAGGGATTGTACTTGATTTTCATATGATGAAGACATAATCTTTCAATCAGTTTAATTGAGGTCTGGAGCTGGCATGTCAGTAACTGCTAGTAGTCCTTTGTTCATTTATGTATCATTGTCATTTTGCTTAGTTTCTTTTGTTACCTATTCTGACATCGGACTCGGACTTCTTTTAAACTGAGTTTTACTGTGCGTATTGCTATGTGTTTCTTTATTCTACATTGGCTAGAGGTATAGGGGGAAGGTTGAGATCTCACAAAACATGTTTAATCCCGCCGCATTTTTGCGCCTGTCCCAAGTCAGGAGCCTCAGGCCTTTGTTCGTCTTGTATGTTTTTGAATATTAGTTCATTTATATGTTTTGGAGTTTAGTGTGACGTCCATTTTCACTGAACTAGTACACAATTTTATTTAGGGACCAGCTGAGGACCACCTCCGGGTGCGGGATTTTCTCGCTGCGTTGAAGACCCATTGGTGGACTTCGGCTGTTGTCTGTTCTTTGGTCGGGTTGTTGTCTCTTTGACATATTCCCCATTTCCATTCTCAATTGTATCCCCCCAAAGAACGAAATTGGTAAATCTAAAACAATTATATTAGCCTTTTATAATTTTTGTAATCCACTACAATTTATATACAAGCAATTCTGAATCAATTAAACTACAAAGCGAAAACATTTTCCACTTTCATCAGCTATGAGACGGCTAGCTTTTTAGAAAAGCTACTACTTGTTGAGTTACAAGAATAATATCCTAAATTGAGATCTTGTAAAATTGCAGAGATTGTCAGAGGAGTCACAGGGAGGATAATAAAAAAACCAACATACAATTGTTATCTTACAAGGAATCCGGACGCAGTAAAAATCTTAATGCTAGTCTAAGGAATGCTTGACAATAGAAGAAAATTATATAGTCCAAAACTTACTAATTGTTTTAATTTTTTAGTTGTTCTTGAATATACATATCCATGACTTTGTATGGCTTTTTCATTTTCAAAATAAATATAATACCTTTTACAGGAACAAGGTAACTCATATAAACAATCAGATGACAAAGAATACTTTTCTATGAACTAAGTTTTTATTACATTTTATTTTTTATATTTTTGTAATGCATGAGAATAGGACTAACAGGACTGTAGTTTAATTGTCAAATTTACGTCACTAATGAGTCTTTTGTAGACGAAGTGCGTGTCTGGCGTACAAAATTCAATCCTGGCCTCTATGATGAGTTTATTACTATATCTACTATACCTTTTTTGTTGGTGTCCTTTGTTGCAGGTAGATTAATTTGTATGTTTGTTTGGTTTTTTTTAAGATAAGAACAAAAATGGCTTAAAAAATTAAGGAATACAGCCTGAAGTGAAGCAACCCCCCCTTCCAAAAAAAAACCCCAAAAATCCAGAACATGCCTCCACCATGCGTCGCCATTGAAATTGCATTTGCGACCATCAAATCGCCAGTTGACGGTGGCAACTCTTCAACAACAATACTAATTAAATCAAATAAAATTTCTTTCCGAGTTTCCAAATGAAAGGACCATAAGAGCATATTACAAAGTGCATACAATATCTGCATAAAAAGTAGTTATTTCTAAAATAACCTAAACACTAAAGTTTCAATGATTAAGGCAAACACTGACAAATAGTCTATGGAAATTAATAGCTGTGTATATATAATCAGGCTGGGTATAATTCTGTTCTGTAATCGTAATTCTGCCAATCAAGGCACACCTCCATTCAAATAGAGGAAAATGTCAGTACACAATAATTTACAATACAACGCGCATCAGTCTTTATATATTAAAATATAAAAATTTCCGCCACCTCAATTTTTTTTATATTACGAAACACAAATAAAACAATAAAATCTTTTGATAGAAATAAATTAAAATGTTCTTTCGATGCAGAATCAACTGATTCTGGGACCATGTGTGCCCTTAATGTCATTGCAGGGCCAAGCTACCTACATTATACAAGTTAGATTTTCTACTGCCTAGGTTATCTAGATTAGCTAGTAAAGCATAGCGCTTGTGCAAATTATAAAGCAACTGTCTACACAGGGGTTCTGTCTACATAACAGATCGGGTTGATAATTAGTTGGATAAGATCAACTTGAAACGAAGGTTTAACTTTAGCTAGGATCAAGCTTCCATTATTTAAGATTTTTGACATAAGTGGTATTCTAGACTCTTCTAACTTTTCACATAACAGGATAAAGCGTTCCACTGTTTCATCCGCTTTACTACAGAGTTTACAAATTAAACTGATATGATTCTTTGAAAATTAGGCTTTGTGGGTTTGTAGGATATAATTCCCAGCTGCAATTTTAAGACGTACAGGAATTTTTCTGATGTCCTTTGGATTTGCACTGACCGAAATTGCTAGAGGATGTACGGATCCAATGTTATATTTATGGTCCATGAATTTTTTAAAAGTGTTGAATATCCTTTTGATTCATCAATAATTTTTGAAGTCCAATAGTCATGAATTTTGGATTTAACTAGCCTTTTCCATTGAATTTTTGATAACGGGTTGTTTAAATAATCATACAAGTCAGTAATTTCATATTTTAAGCATTAAAAGATACAAAGAAATGGACTATAGACAGTTCTTTGTTATTACTACAGGTCAAGGTCAATTATTTTAGATAAAAACTTTTCCCTTTCCATTGTTTCGAATAAACATATGAAATATTTTTAAAGAATAAATGACAATTGTTATATTTTACGTTTGAAAAGAATCATTATGTTTGTATTTTAAATAAATGAATGTTTTGAAGGTCTCTTTGGGTCATAATAACAGTTTTTAACAGAATTTTGTCATTAGCATATCCAAAATGGCGATGGCTTCGGAAAGCTTGTGTCACAATGATCCAAACTTTGCTGTTATATGTAATTTTTGGGATCGCTATGGGGAAATGATTGGTCTAAAAGAGATCTCCTACTCAGATCTCGAACGATGGCTTGAAGACACGAAGCAGGGTATGCATATAAGTTTGAAATCCATACATATATTTTACTGATAATATGCACAATGATCATAATTTTTGTAAGCAGTGTAAATTGACCCTTTATGCATTTTCATATACCTCGCTGATACTTCCATGTATTTGTATACAGTTTAAAGAGCACCTTTTATTCCTCAGTTATTTGCTGAATTTATATCTCAATGACTTGATAAAAATTAAAATGAGAAGGTTATAATAACAAATGGAAAAGAATGGCAGTGGCCAGTGCAGTGTTTACACCTAGAAATTTACTCACACTACAGACAACCCTGTGCAGCTGTAAAAGTTTCAAGGCCTAACATCCACTAAACAGCTGGATATAAAAAAAAATAAGATGCATTTATCTTTTATATATCATGTGGATGCTAGGCGTTAAGATTTGTTGAATTTTCTGAAATTTTTCATGCAACTAGAGCATGCACATGAACATCAAAAAAATTATGTATGCAAATTTTATACTTTCAGAAATATGGCAAATTAAAAATCAGCAAAGTTAAAGCACAATTATATAGAATACATGTCAATATTGCCAAATTGTTCAGCAATTTTTACTTTAAATTATTATATCTCCGTGTTCCAGCTTGAATCTCAGGGCAGAAGGGTGCTAGTTGTCTAAAAGGGCACTTTAGCGTTGTAACCCAGATTTTAAGGGCACTGTTGGACAGTGTATAAATTACATGTACCTTGAATATTGCTAGGCTCAGCTGGAGAACATTAGTTGTATTTAAACCATATTCAGAAATTAATGTGTTCTTGATGTTGGTTCCAGTAAGAATTTTTTTTTTATCAAATTATCATACTATGAAGCAAAGCATATCATTTTGATGTTAATGTAAACAAACTTTTGGTAAGGAAAATAATCATCAGAAATTTCAATGTTTTATAACTTATACCAGTCTAAAATAAACAAGTAGTTTTGAAAGATGGAGTTATATATGCAAAATTGAATGTTTAATGTATTGATAGACCACTTCACAGGAAAAAACTCGTCAATTATGCGCGCCTTTATGACGTCATTTACCAGATAGAGGGGATCGCCTGTATCCCTGCACTATTAACGTTCATCGAGCGTCTTAGTGATCGTCATTGTGCAGGATAAACTAGAAATAATGTTTGTTTTGTAAGTACTTAATCACAATTCCCTAATGACAGTAGTGTTGATTGTCAATTATGAGAATTTAATTTGCGGAATAATTTGTGCAATATAGCATTATAGTTTTCCAACCACTTGCTCAACATTGGAACAGAAGTGACGATGCCCCTAAAGCACGAATGATGTTCACTAACAGTGTTCCAGCTTGAATCTCAGGGCAGAAGGGTGCTAGTTGTCTGAAAGGGCACTTTAGCGTTATAACCCAGATTTTAAGGGCAATGTTGGACAGTGTATAAATAACCTTGAATATTGCTAGGCTCAGCTGGAGAACATTAGTTGTATTTAAACCATATTCAGAAATTAATGTGTTCTTGATATTGGTTCCAGTAAGAATTTTTTCCATCAAATTATCATACCATGAAGCAAAGCATATCATTTTGATGTTAATCTAAACAAACTTGTACATTTGGTATGGAAAATAATCATCAGGAATTTCAATGTTTTATAATTTATACCAAAATAAACAAGTAGTTTTGAAAGATGGAGTTATACATTCAAAATTGAATGTTGAATGTAATTAAATTATCTACATTTAAATTACTTGTTCAAACATATAGTATATATATTATTGAGAGTTATTTATTATCATTTGAATTGTTACAAAAAATTATTTTTAAGTGCACACCAAAGTGCTCCTCAGTAAGGAGTTTTATAAATATAACAGGTGAGACAGGAGATAATCATATTTTATATTGATGCAATTATATATTGCAGAAGGTATAAACAGTTACTTTTTTCTCCATCATTGTTAAAAATAACTTTGTTGAGTGCTCCTATGTCAGGAGGATTATAAAATACAAGAAGTATTAAAAACAGGAAGTGAATCTTGTTATGTTCAAAGTACAAATTTCTTTGATTCCTCTTTAAATTTCATACTCATGGTTATGAAACAAAACATTTTTTACCAATTAAGTCAAAACTATGTATGCCTTTAAAATTGTTTAAGATTTTATTTTTTATGTTATGCCTACTGAGATAAATTTTTTCAGGTGTACATGCTGTACATAAACATTACAAATGGATAACATGTGGACATTTCATTCTGTATTAAATATATAGTATTTGTTCAATTATCTTAAATCCACTAATTAGCAGTAAACAATCATTAACAAAGGTGATAAAACTGCCAAAGCACTAGGTATTTAACTTAATCCCATTGTCAGTTAATTAGTGTTACACAATCAGGTAACAATTTTACCGGAAACGCCGGTAGGCATGAAATTTGAAAATTTTATTTTTTTGAAAAGGCAGAGGGGTGCATTCTTTTACTTTGGAGGGCAGAAGGGCGGGGGTAAGGGCACCAAGGGCGGGCCGCCCTTCTATTTAGGGCAGGCGGGAACACTGACTAAAACCAGAGTATTTGACGGAAATGCATCGAACTCGAAAGTTGTCTATTAAATTATCTACATTTAAATTACTTGTTCAAACATATAGTATATATGTTATTGAAAGTTATTTATTATCATTTGAATTGTTACAAGGAAGTATTTTTAAGTGCACACCAAAGTGCTCCTCAGTAAGGAGTTTTATAAATATAACAGGTGAGACTGTAGATGATCATATTATATTGATGCAATATATTGCAGAAGGTATAAACAGTTACTTTTTTCTCCATCATTGTTAAAAATAAATTTGTTGAGTGCTCCTATGTCAGGAGGATTATAAAATACAAGAAGTAAAACAGGAAGTGAATCTTGTTATGTTCAAAGTACAAATTTCTTTGATTCTTCTTTAACTATCATACTCATGGTTATGAAACAAAACAATTTTTACCAATTAAGTCAAAACTATGTATACCTTTGAAATTGTTTAAGATTTTATTTTTTATGCTTTGCCTACTGAAATAAATTTTTTTCAGGTGTACATGCTGTACATAAACATTACAAATGGATTAAATATCTAGTATTTGCTCAATTATCTTAAATCCACTAATTAGCAGTAAACAATCATTAACAAAGGTGATAAAACTGCCAAAGCATTAGGTATTTAACTTAATCCCATTGTCAGTTAATTAGTGTAATTGGGTAACAATTTTACCAGAAATGCTGGTAGGCATGAAATTTGAAAATTTTATTTTTTTGAAAAGGCAGAGGGGTGCATTCTTTTACTTTGAAGGGCAGAAGGGCGGGGGTAAGGGCACCAAGGGCGGGCCGCCCTTCTATTTAGGGCAGGCGGGAACACTGTATCTTGAATTCTAATATGATGTGTTTCTTTTGCTTTGTAAACAACAGTGTGATAAAATTCTCTGTAAATCTTTACTTACATGACTAAGCGCAGACTCAGAGATGTACATATTAATGGCTGTTATTATTTACCTCCCACGTAAATCCACATGTATCGTAACCTATGTGCAAACACTATGTGGATGTTGTTGTGTTCAAATTGAAATTGAAAAAAGAAACTACAGAACCGTTATTCCTATTCTATAGATAACAAAAAGAATTAATGCATAAGATCTTAAAAAATGTATAAAATCAAAATAAAATAAAATTCCGTGAATTTTCATGAATGATCTTGTCAAAACATGACGTCATACGAATGAAAACTCTAAAGCTGAAGATTATTCCCTTACGTGTACGCTCTAAATTCCGATAATATCACATTTAAATGGAGTTTTGAGGTAGGAGTTGTTTCATTTTCTATTCTATTGCATCATTCACACATTCATGGATTTCATCAAGTCAACATGGCGGCTCACTCCTTAGTTACAACATGTCAACTGTGGATTTGACAGTAAATTGTAGCCAACGAAAAAAAATTGTTTGGGTTAAGAATTATAAGGATTGATCACATTTTTTCTAGTGATTATTTAAGAAATAATTCATGCAAGCCTTAGATTTATTTGAAATTTGTAGCTTTATCTTACAGGGGGTAAAATACATGTATAACAGATACACACTGCAATCTTACCCTTGCTTCAGTTTTTCAAATTACAGTATTTGTCCTATTAGAATCGAAATAATTCATGCAAGCCATAGTTTTGTAATAATTTTCACATGGCCGGGCCATGTGAAAATTTCAAACAAATCTATGGCGTGCATGAATTATTTCTTAAATCATGACCTACAAAAATGCAAGTTTTAAAAAAATTGATATTTTATTGCTTTTGAAGGGGTCACCAAATTTGTTTTTTTGAGTATGAATAGTTGAATCTTCTAAACAGTGTGAAAAACAACAGAAAAGGCAAAAGAAATTACAATGTATGACGACTTTTTAAATATTATAGAGACACTTAAATGATTTATATGTACAAAAACATATTGGTTGGACATCACACATACTGTACGGAAAGTTCTTTATTACATGTATTAAGATACCTCATTTGATTACTGCAATCACAGTCAGAGGGAATTTTTTGAAATGTAACCAGTAAATCTTTTAAACATATTAACATGATTAAAGGATAAAACATTGCAAAGCTCTTGACAATGAATTTGGTACATGTAAGTTAGATGCAAAATGTATGTACAACTGGTGGGGATTCAAGCTTTTGAGAGCCTCTACATAACAAATTTTTAGAATGGATTGAATCAACAAGTTTTTCTATAGTTGTTGCAACTTCTGTTGAATATGTATAAATGGCTGTTTCCATCATAAGTTTGTGTGCACATTACTTTATATACTCTCAATTAATGTTTTCACTGTATAAACAATTATTGAACTTAACTAAAAATGCCAAAATGCTGCACATGCTGTACTTTTTTGTAGGCCTGTACTTTTATTATCAATACTAACTTACAAATTGATTTATTTTCAAGTGCCAGTGCCACTTATTGACCTCCATGTACGTTTGTTACGGAGAATTGGAAAGACATCGGTTACTGCCAACAGATGGGAAAGATACATCATTAAGGTTTGTGTTTTATCTGGTTTTAAATACATTAATCCCAGGTGTTTATGTGGTATTTTGGAAAAAGACTTTTTAAGGCATTTTTCTGATTTGTTTTTTATGGAAAAAAGAATGAGAAAAAAATCCAAGTTGAACATATAATATAAAGTAAATTTTGTGAGAGCAGCTCAGCCATATTGATTATCATATTCCAAGTCTTTGTGAATGTAATTTTTAACATGAGAACAAGATATGATTGTTCAAAAAGACTAGATCTTGCGGAATATACCTACATTGTAATTATTGATGTATATTCTTCTTCAGACACTGGTATCCTTGACCTTCTTTCTAATTGCGTAAACAAACAAGATGTGACACTTCTTTCTAATTATAGAATCAATGCGACATCTTGCTTTTCTTGGAGAAGAAAATTATGAAAATTTTGTGACATCTTAGGCATGGTTAAACATATTAAGTTGTAAAAGCTTTGCTTTGCATGTACATGATGTAGAAAGCTATAAAAAGAAAAAATGAAGACTTTGTTCTATAACATTTCTTTTGAAACATTTTGTTTTATTTATTTCAGTTCTGTCACACATACTCAAATGTAGATGCATGGGAAATAGAGAAATTTGGATATAAGCATTGTAAACTGACAACAAAACTGAAGCTTTTGAAGGTAAGAAATGATTTGACATTCCAAGAATAACATGTGTATATCCTTTTGTATGTTTTGTCTCACCTGTGATGAAATTCACAGAAGTGATGCTTAGGCATGCTGTTTAACATGACAGACAATGACAGAGACAAACAATTGTTAAAGTTATATGATTTTGTTTCACAGAGTTACATATATATATCATTAAAAATACATTTGTAAAGTGGTTATTGTCCCCCTCGCAGGGGGACATAGAAATACCGGGCATCCGTCCTGTCTTTTTAGCACTCTCATGTACAATTCTTGCCAGATTTTTATAAAACTTATAACATAGGTTTATATCAGCAATGTCTTGATCGAGTTCAAAAATCAGTGCCCATGAACTATTTTTAAAAGAGTTATGCCCCTTGGAAACATTAATTATATGAAAAATTGCATCGTTAGTGCTCTCATGTGTACAATTCTTTCCAGATTTTTATGAAACTTATATATCATAGATTTATATCAGCAATGTGTCAGACGTGTTAAAAAAATCAGTGCAGATCAATAATTTTTAAACTATTTATGGCCCTTAGAAATATTAATAATATGGAAAATTGCATTGTTAGCACTCTCATATGAACAATTCTTGCCAGATTTTTATGAAACTTATATTGTTGGTTTATATTAGCAATGTGTCGGACGAGTTCGAAAATCAGTGCTGATCAATAATTTTTAAAAGATTTATGGCCTTAGAATTATTAATAATATGGAAAAATGTTTTGTTAGCGCTCTCATATGAACAATTCTTGCCAGATTTTTATGAAACTTATATTGTTACCTTTTATGTTCCATGGTTTATTCATTATTTATAGTTTACATTACCTGCATCCCAACGACAAAAACAGGTCAAGTAACCACTGTCATTCCGTTCATTCGTCAGAAAGACCTTGGGTAGAAAACTATTGTTAATGTCTTCCCTGTTTCTATCAAAAGGAATGCTTTTATATTTGGTCTGCAGCTTGATAATATGAGTTCTGGGGTGTTAGAAATATTAACATTTGCCATGCAGCCACTTCCTGTTTGCCAATAGTTTGAAATTTTACAACACTCATTGAGCAAGGAAATTTTCATCAAAGTCTTCTTGGCTTCAGTGATTTTAGGAAATGATCAGTTTTGCTTCAGTATACATGTTACCTCAATCAATTGCAAGCAGTGACATGGGTTCAGATATGGTATGGTCTTGTTTATTTTCTGTTGTTTTATCCATTTTTTATCATTTTTATTGTTTTACCCCTTATCGTCTATGGTTTTATCCATTATTTATAGGCTTTTTGGTCTGTTTTGTATTGTAGACTTAGGATTTGTCAAAATATATTTAAGTTAATGTGGCATGCCTTTGTCACTACAATTAGTACAAGAAATGTTTAGTGTATTGGCAAATAATTTTACATGTTTCACATGTAATTGTTTAATGCACAGTGAGTGAGTGTACATTTTATATTCATTTATACAAAAAGGCAAAACACTGATATTAGAGAAATATATTATGTATTATACCTGTCTGTGTCAATATTTAAAGCTATATATATAGGCCATTGTATTTCCACTACATATGCAGAACTCTTAAAACAGCATTGGAAAGTATGACAAGTCATTTCAACAAATGCTTAGTTGAAAGTCCTGAAATCAAAACAGACCCATACATAGCTATAGTAGGACCAGCTCTCTGGCAACACAAAACAAATAAGAAAATATCTATTCTGTCAGGAGTAGTTTTGCTATAAATAATGGAAATGACAAATAATAGCTAGATTACTAGCTCAGAGTTCTGCGAAAACTTTTTTTGACCTGTCAGTCATTGGACTGACAAAGCAAGATTATATGTCAGTCCTACAAAATTTTTGCCGGTCCTACAAAATCTGTCAATTTTATCCTGAAATAAAATTAATAACATATTTTATGGAAAAATGAGTTTTGTTTCACAGTCGTGCTTAAGCCATTCCCTATTCTCCTGCCAACTTGCAGAAAAAGACCGGTCGGGTCTTCGTTCCCCCTCATATTGCTTCCTTTTTATTTGTTTGGCTTTATCAGAAGGTTCCATCGCTGATCGTTTGCCAGGGACGGCTCCGTGAACAAATTTGATAGGCCACATGTAGCTCGCCGCTTTGGTTTGTTTATAATTAAATTCAGAAACCAGTTCTGGAAATTAGCCGCTTGTACATCTGATGACCGATGTAAAAAAAACGTCCTGGAAATTAGCCACGGGTACATCTGATGACCGATGTAAAAAACGTGCCGGCATAGGCACTGCAACAGCTGTTTTTGCATCAGGTCATCGGGACCGCCGCTAGTGATCAAAATGCCGGTCCGAGCCTCATTTTGGCGGACAGGACCGACAATTTTCGCGAACTCTGTACTAGCTAGGTTTTGATGAATCAAAAAAGAAAATACCATATTTCAAGTCACTATATATTAGATTTAATTTTATGATAGTAATTTAATGGTGTATGGTTTTACATTATTTCTCTCATTGCAAACAAATCTGAAGTCTTTAGAAAGAATGAATACAGTGCTCCCAGATCCTTTTTACAATGAATTCATATTTACAACATAGTTTTGAAAGTAGAATTTTCATAAGTTTCCTCAGCAAAAGTAGGCTATTTTATTTGGCAGACATATTCTTGACATTATACTACTATGTCTCCTAAAACATTTTATTTTGCTTAAACTTTTTTTAAAGACCTTATTAGAGAAACAGTTTGATCAGAATTCCACATTTAAAGAAAAGGTGAACAAGCTTGCTCCTGAAGATATGAGATTCCAGCCTATTGGCAGAGATAAAGATGGTCTGGCCTATTGGTATATGCTGGTATGTACATGTATATTGATTTTATTGGCAGAGATAAAGATGGTCTGGCCTATTGGTATATGTTGGTATGTATATTGATTTTATTGGCAGAGATAAAGATGGTCTGGCCTATTGGTATATGTTGGTATGTATATTGATTTTATTGGCAGAGATAAAGATGGTCTGGCCTATTGGTATATGTTGGTATGTATATTGATTTTATTGGCAGAGATAAAGATGGTCTGGCCTATTGGTATATGCTGGTATGGATATTGATTTAAAGGTATACACATAAAATAAATAATTTTTCTATAACCATTTACTGGCTGGCTCATCAGGTTTGATTTATGTTTATTTTTCTTCAAGGGGACATTGAAATATACTTGAGTTAACTGAGTTTTCCAATCAACCGAGTTTAACTCATCAGAGTAAGAAAGGCATTGCACAAACAGGATTTGTTTCAATTACCTCGACTTATCAGTAAGGCTATGATGGATAGCACTTGACGTCTTTCAATTTCTGTGTGCTGGTTCATATACTGGACGCCAGTCTTTGCTCCTTTCAATTGGAAACTCGCGGTGTTGAACACCCTTTGGTGGCCTTGGGCTGTTTTCTGCTCTTTGGTCGGGTTGTTGTCTCTTTGACATATTCCCCATTTCCATTCTCAATTTTAGTATCCAAGTTTTTGACACAACCTAGTTGAACGCTATGAGGTTCCACCGTATATTATCTATGGTTATTTTCTGAAGTTCTGTCTAGATTTACTTTATTTTCATGACTCTTGTCTTACAAATGTACCAATTGGCAAAGATAACATTAAGTTGAAAATTTTTCATTTACTATGAGTACTACATGTACTATGTCAACTTTATCTGGTCTAGAATGACTGTTAGCATGGTTAGGTGTACATGTTGTTTGGCAGAATTTCATTACGATGACCTCAATTTCATGGTTCAATGATCAACGATTCTGATTATATAAGAGTCAATCTTTCTTAATATCCTCAATGAATAAGGTGTATACTAGAATTACTAATGTGATTTCTCATGTGTATAAAGATTTAATTGTCTGGAAAAAGAGGCATGAAATCACCAAAAATATAAGAACTGGGAGAACTTATCAATCTTAAGAACATACCAAATTACTGATTTTATTTTTATTTAGAAAATGAGACATCTTCTGTTCAATTTTGATTTCAAGCAAAAATTTATAGTGAAATTTTGAATACTTTATAAGGGTTTTTGTCGAGCCTGCGATTTTTGTGGCAGAAAGCTCGACATGGGGATAGTGATCCGGCGGCGGCGGCGGCGTTAGCTAACTTTTTAAAAGCTTTATATTTTAGAAGGTGAAAGATCTGGATGCTTCATACTTTGTATATGGATGCCTCATGTTACGAAGTTTCCGTCAGTCACATGTCCAATGTCCTTGACCTCATTTTCATGGTTCAGTGCGCGTGACTACTTGAAAAAAAAGTTAAGATTTTTTGTAATGTTAAATTCTCTCTTATTATAGGTAATAGGATAACTATATTTTGTATGTGCGTACCTTGCAAGGTCCTCATGCCCGTCAGACAGTTTTCACTTGACCTCGACCTCATTTCATGGATCAGTGAACAAGGTTAAGTTTTGGTGGTCAAGTCCATATCTCAGATACTATAAGCAATAGGTCTAGTATATTCGGTGTATGGAAGGACTGTAAGGTGTACATGTCCAACTGGCAGGTGTCATCTGACCTTGACCTCATTTTCATGGTTCAGTGGTTATAGTTAAGTTTTTGTGTTTTGGTCTGTTTTTCTTATACTGTATGCAATAGGTCTACTATATTTGGTGTATGGAATGATTGTAAGGTGTACATGTCTAGCTGGAAGGTGTCATCTGACCTTGACCTCATTTTCATGGTTCAGTGGTCAAAGTTCAGTTTTTGAGTTTTGGTCATTTTTTCTAATACTATATGCAATAGTTCAACTATATTTGGTGTATGGAAATATTTTATGATCTATATGTCGGTCACGCAGGTTTTATTTGACCTTGACCTCATTTTCAAGGTTCATTGCTCAGTGTTAAGTTTTTGTGTTTTGGTCTGTTTTTCTTAAACTATAAGCAATAGGTCAACTATATTTGTTGTATGGAAGAATTGTTAGCTGTACATGCCTGCCTAGCATGGTTCATCTGACCTTGACCTCATTTTCATGGTAGTTTACTTGGTTAATGTTAAGTTTATGTGACAGTTGTAATAAAGCTTTATATTTAGGACTATCAACATAATATCAATGATTAGTAAAGAAGGAGAGACATTTCAGCGTGTGCACTCTTGTTCTATTTTAATGAGGTGTAAAATAGATATATCTGTTGTTTGATATTCCTTAAGCAGCATGCATGTTTTTTATGCTTATCAGAATGGATCATTTAGAATTCACTCTTGTAATTTATTATGATTATTACTTCAGGATAATGAATGCAATTTAAGGGTATATAGAGAAGATCTGGATGACAATGATGATGAAACATGGGAAATTGTTTGCAAGTAGGTATTACTTTGAGGAATGTAAAAATTTACATACAATTTACAAACAGTTTATATACAGATAAAATTTTGAAATGCATGGAAGATATTAAACAAAGTTGAAGTAAAAAGTTAAGATAGCTTTTGTAAACAGTTGATAAGAAATTATGAAAGTATTGCAGCAGAATCATAATCTTTGCAGAAGGTATCGAAAAAAGGAAAACAGTTTCAAGCTTTGTATTAAAAACAAAGGGAGACAATTCAATCTCAGATACATGTAACCAAAATTATTACATATAAATTAAGTAGATGTGGTATTATTGCCACTGAGAAAACTTTCCACCATAGACCTAATAATGTAGGTGTAAGAAACTATAGGTCACCATGTGGCCTTCAACAATGAGCAAAATCTATGCTGCATAGCAAGCTCTAAAAGGCCCTGACATGACAAATTGTTAAACAATTGAAACCAGAAAATCAACAGCCTTATTTATGTACGGCATAATGTAAGCTTTACAACATGAAATCCAAGTTTGTAGAAATGACTTATTTTAGGAGTTCCACAGAGTATTTCTAGAAAGTTGGAAACCCAAAAGCTCAAACAGTTTACAATGGAATAATATATATATGCAAATTGACTGAATTGCTTCATAATTTTTACCCACTGGGAATAGATTATTATGCCCCCGCCGTAGCGGAGTGGGCATTAAGTTTTACCTTTGTCTGTCCACCCATACGTTCGTCCCGAAATTGGTTTTCGTTCTCAAACTTAAGTTTGCCTCAACCAAATGTTATGAAACTTATACACAATGCTTATTACCACAAAACACAGATCAAGTTTTAATTTTGGTGTCATCACTTTCACCGTTCTAGAGTTATGCCCCTTTACAAATGAAAAAAATTGCTGAATTTTTCATTTTTTTCCGTTCTCTAACAAGTTTGCCTTAACCAAATGTTATGAAACTTATACACAATGCTTATTACTACAATACACAGATCAAGTGAACTTGGGTGGCATCACCTTCACATTTCTAGAGTTATGCCCCTTTACAAATGGAAAAATTGTTGAATTTTTCGTTTCTGTTCTCTATCTTAAGTTTGCCTCAACCAAATGTTATGAATCTTATACACAATGCTTATTACCATAAAACACAGATCAAGTTTGAATTTTGGGTGGCGTCACTTTTACCGTTCTAGAGTTATGGCCCTTTTAAAATGGAAAAATTGAATTTTTTCATTTCCGTTCTCTAACTTAAGTTTGCCTCAACCAAATGTTATAAAACTTATACACAATGCTTATTATCACAAAACTCAGATCAAGTTCGAATTTGGGTAGCGTCACTTTTACCGTTCTTGAGCTATGTCCCTTTAAAACGTTATATGCAAGTGGGGGCATCATCTTTGTCCCATGGACACATTCCCCATTTATTTTGTTACATATATTACCCAGCTTCTGTGACATTGAGAGGATGTGTTTTTGGTATACCCGCTGGGAATAGATTATTTTGTTACATATATTACCGGACTTCTGTGACATTGAGAGTATGTGTTTTTGGTATACCCACTGGTAATAGATTATTTTGTTACATACTGTGGATTCATTATTATTCGTTGGATACCAATTTTCGTGGATTTTGTTGTAACCCAGGAACAACGAATTCAAATTTCCAACGAATAACAAATTTTGTATAGGAATTTATTAAGATTTTTGAAAAACCACGAAATCAAATATCCACGAAAATGCAAGTTTACCTCAATCCACGAAAATTGGTACCCACGAAAATAAATGAATCCACAGTACTGTAAATTCAGAAATTATTGTGTGCATTTATTATTGCAATTTTTCAAGAATTGACAAAAATGAGAGTTTTATTATTGTGATTTTGAAAAAAAGTGCATACAGGTCTATATTTCAGTTATCAGAATGCGAGTTCTTATTATTGCGAGTCGCATTATTCGCATTATTAAAAACCTCACAATAACTTCTGAATTTACAGTATATTACCCAGCTTCTGTGACATTGAGAGGATGTGTTTTTGGTATTCCCACTGGGAATAGATTATTTTGTTACATATATTACCCAGCTTCTGTGACATTGAGAGGATGTGTTTTTGGTATACCCACTGGGAATAGATTATTTTGTAACAAATATTACCCAACTTCTGTGACATTGAGAGGATGTGTTTTTGGTATACCCACTGGGAATAGATTATTTTGTTACAAATATTACCCAGCTTCTGTGTTATGGAATGAGTAGATATTTTGTCAGGAACTTTATGATGTTAAATTGTACTGTATATACCATTTTCAGATCTACTAGGCAGTAACTTCTGGTTTAATGACACTTTGAATATTTTATATATGCACTGAGAATGAAATGTTTTGTCAATGTTTAATAAGTAGGGGTATACTTTACATTACATCACATGACTTTACATTACATCACATGATGCTTATTTCTTTTTTTTAAATTTAATGTTCTTTGAAACTATGACCTCAAGGAAGACAAAGGAGAAATGTTTTTTGTTGAAAATAAACTTTTATTGGAATTGTATTTGATTATGACACATTGTAACCTTTATGTCAGATGATATGACTGAAAACTTGTTTACTAAATAAAAAAAGTGAACACGTATAATGCTAGTGCATCTTGAAATTTTAGCCAGGGTGATCTTACTCAACATTTACAATGTAAGTCTAAGATGTAGTGAAAATTAATGTGTATAATGACTGATCAATGAACCTAAAACTATATTAAAAATATTTATATTTCGTGTATTTATTTCAGAACAAGAAATGATTTAGCAGAATTAGTAGCTCGACTAGATAAAGAAATAAATGGAACAACTAAAGATGTAACAGATATACACAGCAGCACATGTAAGTTATATAAAGACAAGATAAAAAAAATAATATCAAATTTTATTATTGATAATATATTCCTTTCAATGGGAGTCAAGACACATTATTATAGTTTATTGGTAGAGTACCGCTACAGTTTATTTTTAGTTCTCCCTCCACGCATCATTAGAAACCATGATGTACTCTTATTATACAGAAATGATATATCATGCTGATAGCAGGGCTTCCAAAATTATTTTTAGCCAGCCGGACATTTTATATATTATCCCGATTTTAATCCCTTAAGACTAAATAAACAAAAGGCAATTATGGTAATCAGTTGCCGAGTTGGCCATCCCAATGATTGATATTTAAAAAAAACGATATTAAACTTTCTTTGATTCAAATTCGAAGTTCTGACGTAAACTGTTAAACTGGCAGTGCATCATCCGAAGTGTGCAACATCAGCGTACTTATATCTGCATTTATAGACTCTTTATTTGTGCAAAATAATGTTGTCAAAAACTTTACTTTCATTTTTAAATCTGAAACCGGATGTTATCTTGACAATGGTAAAACATAGACCAGAGACGGATACGTAAATTCCATGTACGTTTGCAAAGCATGAATGAGTGTAAGTAGCTCATTCTACGTTATTTCTTCAAGAAAATATTCGAAATAAACGTGAGATAAAGGTATCAATGACAATTTAAGCATTTTTTTAAGAAATTAGGATGCATAATTAAATTTCACACCTGCGCACATGCACATGCCCACACGTGTACTAGTTCAAACAGAGAAATGTCTCTGGTTCAAACAACGTGGTTATGACGATTTTTCATTTTCACTTCTTTAATTTTTTCATCAAATCTTATTTGTAAATGTATTTCTGATAATTTAAATCTTTTTGACTAAATTAATTAGATGCAAACCGGTGAAATGTAAGAAAATAACTTTGAATAGACCGATCAATGTCCGGTTCAAAATAGTTTACCTGTCACCTGAACAGGTAAATTTCAGCTGTTCGACAACTAATTAGCCTTGATTAAAATGAGAAGGTATTAAAGTAGGGGTTGTTTTGATAGTACTTAATGATCATGTCATTTTTATGACCGGAAATGTGTGGCTGTTAAAGGCAAAAGGTTGGGTCAAAAAGATCGCGAATTATGTTAAAATTACCGTCTCTTAAGAAAGCCATGAAATCTAAAAAGTAGATGACCGTTTCATGCTTTGCCCAGCCGGACTTTTACCGGACTTTATACAAATGTCCGGAATATATGACCGTTTTGGAAGCCTTGGCTGATAGTCATTCATTTACCTAGTCCATTAACCAACCTTGAAATTTTTTTAGGAAAAAAGGGGAGATAATTCCAAAGATTTGACAATCTGCAGGCATAAATTTGTTAAAATTACAAATAAAATTAAATGTACTCAGAAGTAAATTGAACATAATTTATCCTTATAGTCTTCTATGATAAATAAATGTTGCAATACATATTAATATGGATATATGTAAATTTGTATTGATAAAGTCTTCTAATTCTGAATGGCACATACATATATTTTACCTGTTTATCTTGTTTTAAATGTTTGTTGTGTGTTGTGAGACTTGAATAAACTATTGGAACTGAAACTATTGAATTTGTACCAAGTCTGGAATTTGAATTGTGTTTATATCATCATTTAGTTTGTTTCATTGATAATTTCAAGATTTTTTGCAATAAGCATATTGTGATTTTTTTTTTACAAAAAAATGGAAAGGAAATTTTGTACTTTGTAGTACAATAAAGGTATATCTCCTTACAAAATAATTATGATTAATATTAAAAATATGATTTTACTCATATGCTTTCAGCCAAGAGTGTTAAAAGTGAAGAGGCTGAGGATGAAAAGAAATTAGCAACATCAGACGATTCACAAGATTCTCTGCCAAATGTAAAAAAGGATCCAGAGAAAAAAACTGATCTTGAAAAACATGATGAAGTAGATGGTGTTGTAAATAAAAAGGAAGAGAATGATGAAAAGAAAGATGTTAAAACAGAAACAGAAGAAAGTAATGAAAAGAAAGACATGAAAAAAGAAATAGTAAAATGTGATGAAAAGAAAGACATCAAAATAGAAATAGTAAAATGTGATGAAAAGAAAAACATCAAAATAGAAATAGAAAAATGTGATGAAAAGAAAGACATCAAAGAAGAAACAGAAAAATGTGATGAAAAGAAGAATACTATAAAGGAAACAAAAGATTGTGAGGAAAAGAAAGATTGCAGAGTAGACACTATAGATAATGAGGAAAAGAAAGATGTTAAAGTAGAAATTAGCAATTGTGGTGAAGAAAAGAAAGAGGATAATACAGATACAGGGGATACAATTATTGTTAAAACTGAACCAGTTGACAATAGTTCTGATGAAAAGTTAGAAGTAAAAAATAAGGATACTACTGCTGAAAGGCCTTCAATAGATGTTAATGTAATTACTGTTAAAGATGACAATATTGAAAATGCAGACATTTCACTTGAAGAGAAAAAGAAGGAAATTAAATGTGTTGATGAAAACCAAAAGGAATCGAAAGAAAAATCTCATTCACCAAACATTCCATCTGCTGAAAATTCTGTAATTGATAGAGATGCAGAAAAGGATCTTAAAAAACAGACAGATTCTGTGAAAGATTCACAAAGTAAGAACAAAAGAGAATTGATCATCGATAAAGAAAATGACAGTGACGAAAGTAATGTGTTAAATAATTCTAATGTTGATCGTAAAAAGTCAGAAAGTGAAAATGATAATTCTGAAAACTGTGATATTAAATCCAACAAAAGTTCTCAAATTTCAAAAACTGATACACAAAATTCAGCAAGTGATAATAAATGTACTACCTCAAAATTTCATGGTGCTATATGTGATAATGATGACGAAAATGTAGAATCTACAGAGGAAATTAAATGTGGTTGTGATGACAAAAAGGGAGGTAAGCAGGATATTCAAAAAAATGATTCAGAAATAAATAAAGAAATGAATGATATATCAGAAAACAATGTGAGGAGAAGTAGTAGAACACGTACTACAAGAACTCAATCACAAGATTCACAGGCGAAAGATAATAAATGTGAAAGTAAATCCAATTTAGAAAATACAGAGGTTTTGTCAAAAACTGATGACACTATACCGGTAAATAATGGGGATTTAGAAAAAGAAAATAACAAAACTCCTATTAAATCTAAGTCAAAGGTTAAAGGTAAGAAAAGACCTTTATTGTTTGAGGATAATTCGACAGAGGATTCACCAACAGTGGAACCTGAATCAAAGAAGTCAAAACCAACTAAAAAAATATTAACAAAGAAGTCTCCAGCTAAAGTGAAATCTTCCACTGAAGATACAGACGATAGTGATGACATTCCACTTAGTCAGATCAAAGGAACACCCAAATCCTCTGGGAAAAAGACACCTAAAGCAACTCCTAAAAAACTTACTCCTAAAGGGAAGAAGGGCAAAAAATCTGAACCAACACCTACCAGGAAAAGTTCTCGACCAGTAAAGGTTGGTGTTCTTATTTAAAGATGACAAAGATTTATTTTGAATTTTATTATATTCTGTTGATTTCATAAAAGATATTGATATAGGTGAAAGTTGTTAATCATGTTATTAAAGGGGTGCTTAATATAAGTCATCTTCACCGATTTGACTCAAATTCTCATATTTGATTTATAACATACATGTACTAAAAAGTATATCCAAATAACAAAAAGTCTAAAAAAGACTATTAACAATGCATGGACTCGATAATATGTATCAGCATTTCCTGTATATTTTAGTTTAAAGGACATCTAATTAACCATGAGATGACCTTCAAAGACTGCCGACCGTCATATAACCGGATATAATTGACATAGATATAAATATAAATAAAGAGGGAGCACGTGCAATTGGATTTTTCTAGGTCTGTTTGATTTCATATTATAGGTTAAAAAAATTAGTGAATCATCGTACATTGTACATGTATTTACCTGTAGAAGAATGATTTTCTGGATCGAATTAGTAAATCAAATGGTTCAACCTTGTTTCACTTTCAATGTTGATATTCTTTTCCTAATAATAGCTGAACACGCCTAGTACATGGGTAACCCATCTCCAGCTAAGGAGTTCAATTGAAGTCAGTTATACAATAGCTATGTTTGTGAGCTTATTTTGACAAATTTTTGCCAAACTGACTGCTTATAACGAAATATTTCATAATCCCCTTTTTATTAATACTTAACAGCTTAAAACAAAAAGAATCATATTTTAAATATTTGTCTAAATCGTAGCTAATAATGCCCCTTTAAGTCTCATTTTCAGTCACTTCAACTATTAGAACAATGTAGAATGAAAGATAGATTGGGATGAAACTTAAGTGTAAGCCTTGAATCACGCAGCAGTCATATGCATTGTGGTTGGTAAAAGTTATTTTTTTCTGAAGACTTTATGTAACAATATACATGTACATGTAAACTAGAATACTGTAAATGTACACTCCTTGTAATAATACTATGTACACAACCAGATGTATATTCATTTAAGTGTATTTCACTCAAAATTCCTGAATGAAAACATGTTATACATGTTGTATTTGTGTAAAGTCAAAACAAACATTACAAATGTCATGCTGAAATAATCTTAAATTATAATTTCATTAATTCAGAAAAAGAAATTTGACAGTGATGAAGAGGGAAAAGAAAGTTCATCAAAGTCTAAAAAGTCTTCATCTTCTAAAAAGTCAAAGGTTAAATCTACTGGTGCAGACAGTGATGATGATGATGAAACTCCTCTTAAAGCCTTGCAAAAATCTGAGTCTGAGACAGAGGAAGAGGAGGAAGATAAAGGTGGTCGGAGGCGAAGTTCAAGGGTTAAGAAACTAATGAAGAAGTCCAAGAAAAAAGAAATTACTCCACCTCCATCAAGTTTTGAAGAAGATGAGGAGGAGGAGGAGGATAATCATAGTGATTTTACTGTTACTGACTCTGACGACTCAGATGATGAATTTAATCCAACTCCTAAAGGGAGGAACGCTAGAAGACAGGCTGCAATACAAGGTTTGTAATGTTTTATACATAGTTTAGCTTTACCCTAGGAGTGAGGGCTATATTGCAGAGGAGGGGGCATTAAGTTTTACCCTTGTCCGTCTGTAGGTACGTACATCCCAAAATTGGTTTCCGTTCTCTAACTTGAGTTTGCCTCAACCAAATGCTATGAAACTTATATATACACAATGCTAATTAACACAAAAAACACAGATCTAGATTGAATTTTGGTAGCATCACTCTAACTGTTCTAGAGTTATGCCCCTTTATAAATGGAAAAATTACAAAATTTTTAGTTTCCGTTCTCTAACATAAGTTTGCCTCAACCAAATGTTATGAAACTTATACACAATGCTTATTACCACAAAACACAGATCAAATTTGAATATTGGTGTCGTCACTTAAACCGTTCTAGAGTTATGCCCCTTCATAAATGGAAAAAGTTTCCATTCTCTAACTTAAGTTTGCCTCAACCAAATTTTATGAAACATATACACAATGCTTATTACCACAAAATAAAGATCAAGTTTGAATTTTTGTAGCGTCACTCTAACTGTTCTAGAGTTATGCCCCATTATAAATGGAAAAATTTTTAGTTTCCGTTCTCTAACTTAAGTTTGCCTCAACCAAATGTTATGAAACTTAAACACAATGCTTATTACCACAAAACACAGATCAAGTTTGAATATTGGTGTCGTCACTTAAACTGTTCTAGAGTTATGCCCCTTTATAAATGGAAAAATTGCAAAATTTTTAGTTTCCGTTCTCTAACTTAAGTTTGCCTCAACCAAATGTTATGAAACTTATACACAATGTTTATTACCACAAAATACCGATCAAGATTGAATTTTGGTAGCGTCACTCTACCCATTCTAGAGTTATGCCCCTTCATAAATGGAAAAATTGCAAAATTTTTAGTTTCCGTTCTCTAACTTAAGTTTGCCTCAACCAAATTTTATGAAACATATACACAATGCTTATTACCACAAAATAAAGATCAAATTTGAATTTTGGTAGGGTCACTTTAACCGTTCTAGAGTTATGCTCCTTTATAAATGAAAAAAAATGCAAAATCTTTAGTTTCCGTTCTCTAACTTACAAAAATGTAAGTTGCCTCAACCAAATGTTATGAAACTTATACACAATGCTTTTTACCACAAAACACAGATCAAGTTGAATTTTGGTAGCGTCACTTTAATCATTATCAAGTTATGCCCCTTTATAAATGGAAAAATTGCAACATTTTTAGTTTCCGTTCTCTAACTTAAGTTTGCCTCAACCAAATGTTATGAAACTTATACACAATGCTTTTTACCACAAAACACAGATCAAGTTGAATTTTGGTAGCGTCACTTTAATCATTATCAAGTTATGCCCCTTTATAAATGGAAAAATTGCAACATTTTTAGTTTCTGTTCTGTAACTTAAGTTTGCCCCAACCAAACATTATGAAACCTGTACACAATACTTATTATCTTTAAACTCAGATCAAGTACAAATTTGGGTAGCATCACTTGTATAGTTCTTGAGTTATGTCCCTTTATAATGTTGTATGCAAGCTGGGGCATCATCTGTGTCCATGGGGACACATTCTCCATTTATTGTCTCGCCTGCGACGAAAGTCGCAGAAAGTGAGACATAGGTATTACTATCCGGCGACGGCGGCGTAAACTATTTGTATAAAGCTTTATATTTCAGAAGGTAGAAGACCTGGATGCTTCATACTTTGTATGCAGATACCTTATGTTACGAACTTTCCGTCTGTCATATGGCCAATGTCCTTGACCTTATTTTCATGGTTCAGCGACTGCTTGAAAAAAAAGTTTAGTTTTTTTGTTATGTAAATTTCTCACTTATTATGAGTAATAGGATAACTATATTTGGTATATGGGTTCCTTGCAACGTCTACATGTCCATCAGACAGGGTTCACCTGACCTCAGCCTCATTTCATGGATCAGTGATCAAGGTTAAAGTTACGTGATTAGGTCCGTTTCTCAGATACTACAATCAGTAGGTCAGCTATATGTGGTGTATGGAATGATTATAAGGGATACATGTCTGTCTGGCAGGTGTCATTTGTCCTTGACCTATTTTCATGGTTCATTGGTCAATGTTAAGTTTTTGTGTTTTGGTCTGTTTTTCTAATACTATAAGCAATAGGTCAACTATATTTGGTGTATGGAATGATTGTAAGGTGTACATGTCTGACTGGCAGGTGTCATTTGTCCTTGACCTCATTTTCATGGTTCATTGGTCAATGTTAAGTTTTTGTGTTTTGGTCTGTTTTTCTAATACTATAAGCAATAGGTCAACTATATTTGGTGTATGGAATGATTGTAAGGTGTACATGTCTGTCTGGCAGGTGTCATTTGTCCTTGACCTCATTTTCATGGTTCATTGGTCAATGTTAAGTTGCTCTTGTTTGGTCCTCTTCTCAGATACTATAAGTTATAGGTCAACTATATGTGGTGTATGGAATGATTGTAAGGTGTGCACGTCTGTCTGACAGGTTTCATCTGACCTTGAGCTTATTTTCATGGTTCATTGGTCAATGTTAAGTTTCTGTTGTTTGGTCTTCTTCTCAGATGCTATAAGTAATAGGTCAATTATATTTGGTGTATGGAATGTATTTTATTATTTAACTGCTGATTACTTACATTGAAATAGAATATTTTATAAAAATCTTTAAATAACATTAATAATGATAATAAATAATAAAAACTTTTAAGGGATCATTACTAAACCGTGATTAACAAAAACATTGGAAGGTGTGAAAATGTTAAAATAAGGTCACTCATGCATGATTGTTTAACATAGAATACAGTTCACTCCAGTCCCTTCATAAAGATTAATTGGCTGAATATGTACAGATTGAAGAACTTTTGAAATTTTGTTTGCACAACAGAATCACATTTACTGATTTTTGATACATATGAAATAAGATAAGTATTGAGATAAGTAAAAAATATTTTAGCATAGCAACATAAATAGATAAATAGATAATATGAAAATATGACTTTTTACAATATTTTGATCAAAGATTGAAGATAATTTTAGTTTTTTTTTTTTTTTTTTTTGGGGTGGGGGGGTCTTTCAGGTTCATCTCAAGGAATTGACAAATATTTATCCAGTTTCTGCAATGCCTTAAAACTTTTCCTTGTGCACAGGTTTGTCTGTACTCAAGAGGAAATAAAAAAAAAATGGCCATATTTGTCAATCCCTTCTGATGAACCTTAAATCTAGATGAAAAATTATTTCATAAGAAATTTCAAAGTTTGCTTTTAGTAGTCATTTGACTTAATGTTTCAAAAAAAATTTGTATAATGTGATTTTATTTACTCAAATGTTGTTGCTATATTTGCCTGTGATTTATTAGCCAAAAGTGTATCCCATGTTCATTCATCATTAAAATGTTAATTTAATGTAAAGCTTATATAAACTTATTTTTTTTACTTTCAACATTTATAAATTCAATTATGAACACTAAAACAGGCGAGACATTTCAGTGTGTCCACTCTTGTTTAACTCTGTCAGACACCAACTTTCTGTTTTCCAATAGTTTGAAGTACAAATGGGGATATGCTTAGGAAGACAATACATGCATTATTGTTCTAGCTCTATTTTCTATAAAATGAAATTTTATCCACTGAATGTTTTTATGAAAATCATGAAAAGATTTTCACTGATTTTCATGTCACTATATCTTTAGTCATATCATAATTTTTAGAATTTTGTGTTAAACATGTTTAAGGAAGATCTTTGATAGACTTTGTTAAGTTAGCATGATTAGCTCTTTTTTTATACGACCGTAAAATTTTGCGGTCGTATATTGCTACATGTGTATTACGTCATTGTCGTCCAAAGACATTTGGTTTCCGGACAATAACTTTAGTTTAAGTGTATGGATCTCTATGAAATATAATCAAAAGGTTCAATACCACAAAAGGAAAGTTGGGATTGTTTTTAGGGGTGATGGTCCCAACTGTTTAGGAATTAGGGGCCAAAAAGGGGCCCAAAACAAGCATTTTTCTAGTTTCAGGACAATAACTTGTGTATAAGTATTTTGATTGCTCTGAAATTGTACCACAAGGTTCAATACCTTAAGTTGAAGGTTGGGATTTATTTTGGGGGTAATTGCCCAAACCGTTCAGGAATTAGGGGCCAAAAAGGGTCTAAAACAAGCATTTTTCTAGTTTTCAGACAATAACTTGTGTTTAAGTGTATGGATGTCTCTTAAATTGTACCACATTTTACAAAAGAAAATGTCTTCAAATATTAGTTCTTATTTGGGGGGGAGGCATTTTTTTTCCTCAAGATTTAAGAAATTTAAGAAGAAAATTTCTTCAAATATTAGTTTTTTTGGAGGGGGGATCAATTTGTTTCCCCTCAAGATTTAAGAAATTGTCAATTTTCCCAAGAAACATTGGGGTCACAATTTATTTTGCTAATTCTTTGTATATAGTCTGAAAACAGATTTACTTAGTATTGCGCAACAGCACAGTGTATTGCACAACAGCAAGAATTCTTCAATTGAATATAAATTCAAATCATATAACCAATTTCAAGTTCTTTGACTACATTTATTCTGTGTCAGAAACCTATAATGTGTCAAATATTTAATTACAATCCAAATTTAAACCTGTATCAAGCTTGAATATTGTGTCGATTTTTGCCCCAACTGTTCAGGGTTGGACCTCTGCGGTCGTATCCAGCTGCGCTCGGCGAAGCAGTTTATTGTTTAATATCAATGTAGTTTAGAGCTTGACATATTGTATCAATCTCATGTCTTTAGTTGAAGTTCGAGTGTGGACTTCCAGATAAAAATAATTTAGTCTGTTGGGTGGATATCTCATTGAAGTATACACTACAACCTATCTTATTCATAGTGATATCTGATGAATAATTGATTCGATCAAATGACCTTCTATAATGATATTTATTTTCAGATACACAAGAATGTCTAGTTGAAGAAATCCCAAATGATACACCATGTATACATTGTCATAAAACAGACAGACCTGAATGGGTAAACATGATTGTAGTGATATATTTATTTTAATTATTATTATTATTGTTTGGAATGCACACACTTATGGTCATTTGCAAAAAACCTGTAATAGTCAAATTACATTTCTATGTTGCCATTTAAATTGGTATATTAGTAGCCTTGAGAATTGAAAGGTCAGTTGATACCCCATTCATACAAAAGAAGTTGATTAATTTGGCTTAATGTCATTTACCATGTCCAAAATATAGGACAAATCATTGTTATTCCATGACCAAACTGACTGAGTAAAAGTGCATGGTTTATTGACACTGAATTGTGTATGTGTAATCTTGGTACAAAGGTAGCTTAAAGAGGCAGTATCTATGGGTTTCACAAAAAAATCGGTTGACTTTTTTTCAAGAATTTAGTAAATTGTGTATATAAAATATGAATGAAAGCTGTTTTGGGGCAAATCTTGACGACTTTTTGCGATAATTAACTTGTTATCAAGAAGTTGAATTTTTGTTGGTCCAACAAAAACTCGCTTGAAAACTGGCCTTATACACATAACCCTGGATTAACTTGATTACAAAGTTCTATTGATTAAGAAAGCAGGATGTAATTGAGGTAGACCGACAACTTTGACAAATTCGGTTAAAAAAAGAGATCCTACAGAATTTTTAGTGAGTTATGCCTGGACCACAATAAATGTAGGGAGACCGAGTAAATGACAAGTTAAAAGGCTTCAATCAACTGAAAATGGTAACAAATTTTTAAAAAACTCACCTGAATCATAATGTACGCAAGGGGTTAATGAGTCTAGAAAGTGTTTACTATTATTTGTTTAGAGATTCCATTGAATAAATAAGATTGTGAGTGTGTAGTAGAAGTCATATTCACAAGTAAAGCAATTTTCATACTCAAAACTTAAGATAAGTGTGGAAAATGAGATTTTGCAGGATAATAATTCACTGTAAACAAATGTGGTCAGCCAAGAGGCCTAATAAAGGATACGTGACAAGACAGTCAGAGGTACTACTTGTACAAGTAATCTTTATTTTCTTGAAGAAGTAAAAAAAATATACTTATATAAGTTAATTATAATGTTTGAATAATCTCCCCTTAATTTTCTTGTATAAGTAAATTTTTTTTATAAAATCCCACAAAAATTCTCAAGTTTTGAGATGTAAAACCATGCCTTTAATGATTTTTCCCAGGTTAGCTAATAATTTTTTATTAGAATTCAATGTTTCATCTCATTAATTCAACAAAGAAACTGATTGCGCAAAGATCATTAGTATTTGTGCAAGGCCTTCAAAAATTGCTCCTTGGGGGCTTGTAAATGAGCAGTGTTCTGAAGATAACAGACACATGAGATTTTCATTGTCCATGAAATTACACTTAAATGATTAGTTAAGACATCTGCAAAGGACAAACAATTATTAATTCTATTAGAGCAAAGAAGTCCCAAGAATTCAAGAAAAGAAGATAGGATGACTTTTTCACTTATATAAGTAAAAAAATGTGAATGACTAAGGGACATAACTAAGCCAATTTTTTTTTTACCTATACAAGTAAATAAAATACACTTGTATAAGTATCCTACAAATTTACTTATATAAGTATATTAATATTACTTCTTCAAGTAAATAAAAATTACTTGTACAAGTAGTATCCCTGACTGACAGAAGAAAACATAAAATTGAATAGACACAATAATATAAAAAACTTAAGAAAATGATATTAAAAGTTTGCGAGGAATTTCAAATAGCTCTATAGTAAGAATTACCCCTTCTGTGCCTTATTAATTCTAAATAAATATCCTAACTGATTGATATACTGCACTTTTATTCTACCTTTTGATTATTAAAAATCTTCAAAAAAAGAACAAATGAAATTAATTCAAATCGAACACTGAAGTGAAATTAAAAGTTATTATAACTTTTTATACGCCCATTTACGGGACGTATTATGGTATGTCCGTCTGTCGTCCACATGTCAGACAATAACTCAAATACACTTTAACCAATTTGCATGAAACTTACGTGAACTGTTTATATCTATTGAAGTGAGCTCCCTTTCGTTTTTTATAAATTTTAGATTTATGTTTCTGAGTTATGGGGGTTTTATTCATTAAAAAAGGGGGATTTTCTAGTTTTCGGACAATAACTCAAAAAAATTTCACTAATTTGCAAGAAACTTTGGTGAATTGTTTATATCGATTGACATGAGCTCCCTTTCGTTTTTTATAAATTTTAGATTTTACGTTTCCGAGTTATGGGGTTTTATTCATAAAAAGGAGTGATTTTCCAGTTTTCAGACAATATCTTTAAAGTGCTTTGAGCAGTTTTCATGAAACTTTGGTAACTGGTTTATATCTATTAAGATAAGCTCCCTTTAGTTTTTTTTTGAAAATTTCTGATATGACATTGAGAAGTTATTGAACTTTATTCTTTGAAAAAGCGACGGGCATATCATGCGCTCATGGCTCAGCTGTTTATTGTATTTGTGAACACGTGCTTCAAGAGGGGGTAGGACAAAGTTCATGACTTGAGTGTACATTCTTGCATGATTTTGAGCCTTGGTCTTACAGATGACAAAAAAAATTGGGTTTTTGCCCTAATTACAATCATTCAATTCCTGAAAATGACACAAAACATGTTTTTGTATAGATATCTATAAAGTTACTGCATTTTCATAACTTTGAAAATTCATGACTTTCGTAGATACTGCCTCTTTAACAATATCACAATAACAAGAGAGTGACCTAAAATTTTGGACAAGGTTAATAGCTTGAAGTCAAATTTATTAACTCTTTATTGTTCGATTGGAGTAAACTGACATTTCAATTATCAAGGCAAAATATCTATTTTCTGTAATAATATATATGATAATTTAAATGGCAACATAGAATTGTGATTTGACTGGTACAGGTATTTTGCAATTAGCCATAACTTGAAGTGAATGATGATCATTGGTTAACAATTTGATTTACCCAAATTCAGAATCTACTGATGAACACTTGTGTAACAATGCTTTTTTTGACATTTTATTGGAAATTATAAGTAATAAATTCTTTGTGGAGTTTATTGAAGTGTATAGACCTCTTGTTACAATAATTACTAGTTGATTTATACATGTATGATGTATATTTTTCATTATTTTTACATATGATTTCTATTTATAGCTACTCCTCTGTGATAAATGTGATAATGGGTTCCACACAGCATGCTTACGTCCACCTCTAATGATAATACCAGATGGAGATTGGTTTTGTCCGCCTTGCGAACATGTATGTTTAATATTTGGATTTATTTAATATCCATGTATTTCATTTTTTATGATATTAAGATATAGCTCACTTGACCAATCATAAATCATTCAAATGTTTCTCCTAAAACTATTGCCACATGCCCTGATTTAATTTAAAGGGTCTACAGGAAAAATTTCAAGACTAACTTAACTAGATAACCTTCTTTGCCAAAAATGGTTCACAAAGGTTTGACCTTGTACTTTATGGGAAATACATGTAAACAGCTTCTTTTTGTTTTTGACTCGCCTTGATGGAGTCAAAAAGTGAGACATAGGTATGCTGTTTCCGGCGGCGATGGCGGCAGCGGCATCAACAATGTATTAGTTTGTGATTAGGTCTAGTTTAAGGTGAACCATTAGTGGTAAGTCAATGATATTTGGTATGCAGTTGTATAAGCATTGGAATATCTAATTTCCATGGAGATTATTTGGCTCCCCCCCCCCCCCCCCCCTCAGTCATGGTCTATTGACTTTAAAACTTTTGCTTAGTTTACATGTATTAGTTTGTGATTAGGTCAGTTCAAGGGGAACCACTAGTGGTAAGTCAATGATATTTGGTATGCAGTTGTATAAGCATTTGCATATCTCATTTCCATGGAGAATATTTGGTCACGCCCCCTCAGTCATGGGCTATTGACTTTAAAACTTTTGCTTAGTTTACATGTATTTGTTTGTGATTAGGTCAGTTTATGGGGAACCACTAGTGGTAAGTCAATGATATTTGGTATGCAGTTGTATAAGCATTAGAATATCTAATTTCCATGGAGATTATTTGGCTCCGCCCCCTCAGTCATGGTCTATTGACTTTAAAACTTTTGCTTAGTTTACATGTATTAGTTTGTGATTAGGTCAGTTCAAGGGGAACCACTAGTGGTAAGTCAATGATATTTGGTATGCAGTTGTATAAGCATTTGCATATCTCATTTCCATGGAGAATATTTGGTCACGCCCCCTCAGTCATGGTCTATTGACTTTGAAACGTTTGCTTAGTTTACATGTATTAGTTTGGATTAGATCAGTTTAAGATGAACCGCTAATGTTAACAGTCAAGGGTGTAACTTAAATAAGTTATTAGAGAAAAAATAACACACATTTGTTATTGTGGGCTAAAAAATAAGAAAAACTCTGATAACATATGTATGTAACATGTTTCAAAGGGGCAATATACATCCTTTATTTTTTAAACGACCGCTCGTATATTGGTATCACGTCGTCTGAAGACATTTGGTTTCCGGACAATAACTTTAGTAAATGTAAATAGAAATATATGAAATTTAAACACAAGGTTTATAACCACAAAAGGAAGGTTAGGATTGATTTTGGGGGTTATAGTCCTAATAGTTTAGGAATTAGGGGCCAAAAGGGGGGGAGGACATTTTTTTCTCATTTCAGATTTCAGAAATTAAAAAGAAAATTTCTTTAAATTTTGACTACAGTTATTCTGTGTCAGAAACCTATTATGTGTCAAATATTTAATTACAATCCAAATTCAGACCTGTATCAAGCGCAAATATTGTGTCCATTTTTGCCCCAACTGTTCTGAGTTTTATGTCTGTTTTGCTGAACTGTGATACTGTAAATTCAGAAATTATTGCGTGCATTTATTATTGCGATTTTTGAAGAATGGACAAAAATGTGAGATTTATTATTGTGATTTGAGGAAAATGTGCATTAAGATATATGGATCAGATATCAGAATGCAATGTTCTTATTATTGCGATGCTCACCCAGTCACATTATTCGCATTAATAAAAACCTCACAATAATTTTTGAATTTACAGTAGCACAAACATCAAATTCCATCACACAATATTTTAACTTCTATAAAATTATGTTATTTCTTTGCAGAAAGGACTGTTGGAAAAATTGCAGATTAGTCTTAAAGATTTAGATATAATTATGAAGAAGAAAGATAGATTAATAAAAAGGTTTGTGATACCTTGAGTAGAATGCAGACATAGATGTTGTATGATGATAGCTTATGGATAAATTGTGGCCTCTTGATGTTCCTTTTTGCTACCTTGAGTTTTTTGGGTCACTGAATCATTCATATTGACACTATATCTCCTTTGATTCATTTTACACAAAATACCTTGAAACTTCATGTACTACAGTCACTTTAATACACTTAAAACAACATCAACAATGTCAGCAGCATCAGCAACAATGAATTGTGATTTCCAAGCTCATTTTGATAAACTAGAGGATAAAACTATGCAGTAAGCTTAGAAGTGAATCAAACACTTTATTGGACATTATTACAAAAGTTTGTTATCTTCTTAAATGTAAGCTAGAAAGAACTTTCTTAATGTTTGTGTGAATGCATGTGTGTCTACAATGTAGGTATTTATATATTACAGTATAGACACAGTATAATAATAATCACCACAAAAGTAAGAATATGAACATTACTTGTAAATTAGACATGTAATTGTATTTATCTTTTTATTCCATTTATTTTCAGGAAAGAGAGATTAGCATTTGTAGGAATAAGTTTAGACAATATCTTGAAGGATGTAAGTATATGTGTTTAACCTTATAATTGATATCAAACGACATTTTACATTTGTATGTCAATTACCTGTAAATGAGACAATGGCAAATAATCTGTTGGTTTGTTCTTATTAAACCTGGAACACATTCAAATTATAATTTTCTTTATTTAATGGAACATTAACAGTGAAAAATTAAATTCTCAAGAAATTTCTTAAAAATGCATGTCAAACTTATCTCTTAAAAGGGTTGGGGGCTCGCAGAGGGGATAAGACTGTTGTCCATTTCTAAATTTAAATTACAAGCTAAGTCAATCTCTCAAATTTTTGCATATTTTGACATTCTATTTTCAAGTTTTTCTTTAATAAGTACACAAAGTTTTTAAGCCTAAAGCAAATAAAGCATATATATAATGATATATGACAAATTAGTGTATTGTAAAAATGAGAAGAATATTGTTTGATTGATCTTGAACTCTTTTAAGAGTTTTTGAATTCAAGGGGTGTGAAAAAAGTTGCTTTGTTATACCTTCACTTCCCCTTGTTAAGAAACTTGATGAACATTGTGTCAATTTGACATGAAATTTTGTTTCTATAGGAACACAAGGAAAATGTAGACCCAGATGAGTATGAACAGTACAGTCCAGAAGAGGAAGAATATTATAAGCCAAAAAAGAACAAATCATTTGTTAAGAGGTCTTGTCGGTCACGTAATGTAATCAGCTATAAGTTTGATGAATTTGATGACATGATAAATACAGCTATCAAAGAAGATTTAGAAAATCCTCAGCCTTATAACCCTGGTAAAGGTATGTACTGTACACATGGAAGGAGGATTTTTTTTGCTTATTTAGAGATGACATAAAATGCTCTAAAATATTTCTTTTTGAATAGCTATAGATTGAACATATCAACAATATTGAGTGTTATAAATGTGCACACTTTTCCTTCTGTCATGTCTATGCACAAATTTAAATCAGGAAAATAACAAATCACAAAAATATCAGTTAATCTAGCGTGACTTCTTTCTTAAACAATGATTAAAATTGGGGATATTTATGCCCCCGCCGTAGCGTATACGTACGTCCCAAAATTGGTTTCCGTTCTCTAACTTTAGTTTGCCTCAACCAAATGTTATGAAACTTATACACAATGATTATTACCATAAAACACAGATCAAGTTTGAAATTTGGTGGCGTCACTTTTGCCGTTCTTGAGTTATGCCCCTTTACAAATTGAAAAATTGTTGAATATTTATGTTTCCGTTCTCTAATTTTAGTTTGCCTCAACCAAATGTTATGAAACTTATACACAATGCTTATTACCACAAAACACAGATCAAGATTAAATTTTGGTGGCATCACTTTTACTGTTTTAGAGTTATGCCCCTTTACAAATGGAAAAATTGCTTAATTTTTTGTTTCTGTTCTCTAACTTTAGTTTGCCTCAACCAAATGTTATGAAACTTATACACAATGCTTATTACCTTAAAACACAGACCAAGTTTGAATTTTGGTGGCATCACTTTTACTGTTTTTTTTTTATAATTTTGTGGATTTACTCCAAATTATATTCAAGATATTTTATAAAGAATGTATGTACCATAAAATAAGTTGCAGTACCTGAGGAAAGACAGTTTTAGAAATATTTATAGTGCAAATTATGTTTTACTAGAAAATTTCCAGAGAAGACAACAAAATTATCTTTTAATAGAAGGCATACAAAATATGTCTGACTGTAAGGAATAAAAAAATCAAATCAAAGAATAGCCATTAACACTGAATTCTCCAAATGACAAAAAAAAACAAACATTATTATATGACAAGAGAGGACCACTGACTTTGGACAGGCTCACAGACCTTTGACAGAGTTTTTGGACAGGCTCACAGACCTTTGACAGGTTTAACATCTTTTAGTGTAGACCAGTGGACTAAAATAAGGTACACGAAAGAACAGACAACAAAAATAAGTACAAGAAAATCACTTAACACTAGAATAATAGATATAAAAACACATCTTTAAACGTAACAGTGATGAGTTATACTTTCATAAAACAGCTAAATATTCTTTTAGCATGTTTAGCTTTGAAACTTTCATCACATTTGATGGCATGTTAAGTTTTGAAACTTTCATCACATTTGATAGCATTGATATAAACATGACCATTTCCATAATACCTCAATTTATGATATCAGATTGTGATTAGATCCTTGATTAGTTCAACGTTATGAAAGGCAGTGAAATGAAAAAAAGAAATTTACTTATGACTATTCTTCCCACAAGAATGAAATTTCAACAAAATTTCTTGTTTTAAGGACGATCACGAGGTAAAGACATGGCCAATATTTACATGGCAGAGGGTCGGGAATATGTCAGTGAGGAGGAAGGAAAACCATCACCTGTGGGAGGTCGCAAAAAGAAGAAGGGCCGTCGCCTAACAAATCTTAGTGATGAAGATGACAATGATGAGGAAAGTGGAGATGAATACAAATGTTCTGAGTAAGTCACATGATTAATATCCTCCTCCACTGTTAAGTATTAAAGAAGCATTAGATATCAAATTTGTGTTCACTGATCCGCCTCAAATTTCATACTTATTGTGAACCAAATGAAACATTTCCACAAAGTCATCTCCTCTTGGTCAAGGTATTTAAACTTTTTTCAGTTCTATTGACCCATTGAATAAATACAATAGCTATTGTTCTCTTTGTAGTTTATTCACTTAGACCTTTAAATTTCTTCCAAAAAGAAATACATATTTTCAATTGTGTAGGAATGTGTTATTCCTAAAACCACAAATTCGAAGTCCTTCGAATCAACAATGTTTTAACAAACCAATGAAACTGAAACCTTGAAATAAAATTGATTGATTGATTGGTGATTGCTTTACGCCGCATCACCCTTAAAGAAAAGTACTTAATTATAAGTATCATAGATCATTAACTTAAAGACACGAAAAACAAGTAAACCCAACTATATTATTAATCGAGAAACTCGGTTACTTCCTTTCATATAAATCAGAATTTCCTGCTTATTGAAAAAAATGACAGCACTTATTAAGACAGGAGTGCATCAGCAGTTTTGATCTATAAACTGTGGAAATTGATTCAAATCTTGTGTTATAGAACTACATATAAAAACAAGAAGATGTGGTATGATTGCCAATGAGAGAACTATCTGCCAGAGACCAAATGACATAGAAGTTAACAACTATAGGTTACCATATTGCCTTGAACAATGAGCAAATCCCATACTGCATAGTCAGCCATAAAAGGCCCCTAAATGACAAATGTAAAACAATTCAAAGAAGAAAACTAACAGCCTGATTTATGTACAAAACTATGAACGAAAAACCACTGAATTACAGGTTTCTGACTTGGGACAGGCACATTCAGAATGTGGTGGGGTTAAACTAGTTTGCTGGCACTAAACCCTCTCCATAGTCTGGGACAGTTGTATAACAGTTCAACATAAGAACAAACTATAAAAAGCAGTTGAAAAGGGCTTAACTCATCAGATGGAAACAAGCAGAAAAAACATATCTAACAATAACACAGACTGGAAGTGGCAGGGCATTTATACATCCCTCATACATCCCTCACAACAACAAAAAAGACACCTAAGTACAGATCTGAGAGAACTTGCAGTTACTGACAGCTAGCTATTATATAATTTGCATATGTATAAAAACTTAAATAGGATTGGTCTGTTAATTTTTTTTCCATATTTTAATGAATAACAAAAAGAAATAAAATGTATTGTAGAGCATAGAAAAATGTATAAGATTCAAATAAAATAAAATTCTGCAAAAAGTTCATGAATTATATGACGTATTAAGGTCATGACATCTTTAGAATGAAAAGTCTCATATTGAAATTTATTCTGTTACTTGTAAGCATCAAATTCGGTTAATGTCTCATTAAAATAGAGTTTTTGGGATAGGTGTTTCATTTTAATTTTATGGCCTTGATCAAATATATGTGGATTTCAGCAAGTCAACATTTATATATATATACATGTAAGAGTTTAACACATTTTTTTCAGAGGTTATTTATTCAGTTTCTGAGTTAATCACTTATAATATTTATCAGGTAGTATTCAACTCCTAAAATGGAAGATAACTCTAAACCAAAACCTCCCTTTAGAAAATAAAAGTAGCTATAAGACAACTGACTCCATATAATAATAACGGTGTGTCTGAAGACTTGCAGGATTTACTTAATGGTAACATCACTTATGGAATGGATTATTTCAAGGGTTAAGATAAGCTTGATTACAATTCTTGGCCTATAGCTAGTACTTCTAAAGTTTGTATGAATATAGTTCAAATTATAAGATGTGATATTACATATATCAAGTCAGCATATTAATACATGTACAGTTGATTCCGGTTATTTGCATAGCCTATTTGTCAGACAAAATTATGCAATAAAGCGGAGTATGCTTATATCCGAAATGCCAAATTACGGAGTCTAAAAACATCGATAGAACAGATGAGTAAAGGAAATCCCTGAAGAAAGATGAAAGTCTATAATCACTTACAACATATTAAATGTTGATTTATTCTATTAAAAGTTATATGTCTAGTGTCATACATGTTATTTTATTTTGTATACTTTCAATAAAGATTATAAACACATTTTGTTTTAGTTTATTTGCGTACTGACGTTTCCTTTACCTGGGATACGAAAATAAAATAATTTGTTCCAAAAATAGATTCGTTTCTATGACCGGTATGTACAATGTACATTGTTACGCTTTGATTGAAATATACTGTTTAACAATACTACACAGTTTATAATCATTTTAACAATAGATGTGTAATGAACTGCCTTTGATATGCAGTATTTACAGCTTGCACAGTGATGTAACACTGTTTATTTATCCTTGTTAGTTTCGTATATGCAAAGCAGTAATGGGGCCTTGTACGGGTAATTTGCTGGACACGAGTGTTTAAAGTGAGAAAATATAATAATTAGAAGTAAATGCTCTTTTCTTAAAATATTAAAATTAAATGATTGATGTATAACATTCTTTAACCATATATAAATACCCTGAAATATTTAACATAAATGCAGATCACCCCAAACCCAATTACGATAGTTCACATGGGATAATGATCGATAATTAGCAGGCATTATTGTTTTTAAAATTCACCCCAAATGTAATCTTTGGACAATGTTTGAAATCCAATCAATTATTAACACCTTGTGATATAGAATGGTCAGTGTTTTTACAACAATTACCTGTTTGACATTTTTATGACCTCAAGGCTTAAAATAGAACATGGGAAACTTTACCTGTGTAGACATCGAGGTTTATTTTTAAATCAAATTCCATCATATAAACACGAAAGAAACTGTTTTAAAACTTTATTTAAATAACACAAAAGTAAATTTGAAATAATAACGAAAATAAGGATGCATTCAAGAAAAATATACTTACCAAATTGCCGTTTCCGGTCAAAAATCTCGTCAGTTTTAACTAAGCATATCTAGATGGCGATTATTTTCTATGCAATAAACCGAAAGGCCACTTGTAGAGCTATGCGTATAACCGGACAATTTAACATCAGATGAATGGGAAATGGTTTTGTGCAGGAGAAAACTATTCAATTAACCGAATTATGCTATTAAGCGGTATGCAATTAAGTGGAATCGACTGTATTACCCCAAAATTACAAAAAAAGAGTGTTTCATGAATAAATACCCAGTATTACATTCTAAACATCTGTCTATTCTATTTCAGTGATACTTCAGAACCCCCAGAAGAGGTAGAGGAAGATGATGATGATGTCAGTGATTATAGCCTAGACGGGGAAGGCTGGTGTCGACGGGGAACAAGACGAAGTGCAAGACGTAATGCTAGATCTAAGCAATATAAGGATTTTGGTAAGTTCTGGTGATTATAGCCTAGACGGGAAGGCTGGTGTCGACGGGGAACAAGACGGAGTGCAAGACGTAATGCTAGATCTAAGCAATATAAGGATTTTGGTAAGTTCTGGCGATTATAGCCTAGACGGGGAAGGCTGGTGTCGACGGGGAACAAGACGGAGTGCAAGACGTAATGCTAGATCTAAGCAATATAAGGATTTTGGTAAGTTCTGGTGGTTATATCATAGACAGTGAAAGTTGTGATCAACAGGAAACAAGACGGAAGTGCAAGATGTAATGCTATATCTAGGCATTATAAGGATTTTGGTAAGTTCTTCAAGTTGAAACCTAGGGGGGGAAGGCTGGGGTTGAAGGGTAACAAGACGGAAGTACAAGCTGTACTGCTATATCTAGGCAATATAAGGATTTTGGTAAGTTTTGGTGGTTATAGCCTAGACAAGGAAGGCTGGGGTCGACAGGTAACAAGACGAAGTGCAAGATGCCATGCTAGATCTATCCATTATAAGGATTTTGGTAAGTTCTGGTGGTTATAGCTAGAAAAGGGGATGTGGTGTTAGCAAGGGACAAGACACAGTGTCAGACATTATGTAAGATGAAGGAAAAAAAGAAGTGGGAAGTCAACCTTATGATTGTCAGGAATAAAGTTACTTGTAGTTCATGAGTTTCACATGTTGAGTATTGCCAAAAAACTGATTAAGAATGAAAAGAACATAAATCCATACATAAACATTTACCATTTAAAATTACTAGGATTGTGTTCAGCATACAGTATATACAACACTGATTAAGAATGATAAGTATATAAATACATGTATTAACATTTGCCATTTTAAAGAGCTTGGATTGCATTGAGAATATAGTATATAACAATACACACCAAGCCAGTATGTAATCTGATTGAAAGTCTGACAGAATGTGTTTAGGAGGGTAGATGCTGCCAATTTTTTTAATCAAATAAGATCTCAGAGTTAAAAAAGACTGCTTGTGATATCAGAATTGATGTCTGATCAACAGAATTAAATTATTTTAGATATTATAGATTGAAGTGTGTTCATGGAGTGCTAAGACAAATTAGGAACTAAACTGTTTACATTGTGAAAGAAATCATGCATGATCTGGATCAGCCTTTATTGGTAGGGTAAACAAACATTATGAAACAACCAAATGTCTAAAAAGGAAATAGATGAATAGATGACAATACCAACTGTTTAATCCTAATAAAATTGTCTTTTACAGTTGTTGATGAAGAAGACAGTGATTATGGTTCGAGAAGAAAGTCTGCTCGTTCTACGAGAGCTTCCACACGACAAAGGAGAAAGCACAAAGAAGTATGGAGCGACGAAGAAGAAGAGGAGGAAGAAGAAGAAACTGATGAATCTATTGACACGGAAGACTTATGTTCTGAGGATAGTGGCCCAACAAAAAAGAAGAAAAATAGGAAGGAAATAGATAAAAAAGTGTTCAGAGAAAAAGAGAAAAAGAAAGGTAAACATTCTGCAAAGAGAAGGAGAATTGTTGATTCAGAGGAAGAAGGAAGTGAAAGGACTGAAAAATCAGAGGAAAGTGAATCTAAATCAGAAAGTGATGATAGTAGTGTAGATATGGGAAAAATTAAAAAAGCAGCAAAAAGAAAATTGTCCAAAAGACGATATTCTGAATCCAGTAGTGAATCAGAAAAATCTGAATCCTCCGAGCCTTCAAGGAGTAGAAGGAGAAATATAGCTAAAAGAGTTAACTACAAGGCTATTGCAGGTTCTGATTCTGAGGCAACTGAGGTATCAGAGGACAAAAGTGGAAGTGAAAAAGACAAAAGATCTAAAAAGAAAAATATTATTAGAGATGAATCTACTGATACTGATGATTACTTTGACAACAAGTCTGAAAATGCAGAGGAAGGGGAAACAACTGAAGAAGATGAAAAAGAACCAGTTAAACCAAAGAAGCAGAAAAAAGATGAAAATGAGGATGAAGAAGATGATGAAACTGAAGATGAAGCAAAAGAGGAATCTGGGGATGAAGAAAGTCAGTCTCAAATTGTGGGACCAGATAGAGAAATCACAAAGAATAAAGATAAAGATGGTAATACAAATGAAAAAGGCAATGAAAGTTTTCCTAAAGATTCTGTAAGTGAACATGAGACTGACACAGAACCAATCAATTCAACACAGGGTAAGACTGACACAGAACCAATAATTGAATCTCAGAATCGGGCTCAAATCTCAACATCAAGTGTTACAGTTCCAGATAGTAGTGAACAAAACACACCAGTATGTCAGAGCAACATAGGAGTTATAAGGCCAAGTCCACAATACTCAATGGGTCAGAGTTTTTCTGATGGAAGCTTTACCAATCAATCAGGGCAACAACAATTCCAGGGGAGATCACCTCCTTACAGTTCACCACCTCAACAACAGTTCATATCCTCACCTCCTCATTCATCATATCAAGCTCAGCAACCTGGTCACATGATAAGGCAAGGTCCTCCACTCTCTCAAAATTATCCTCCCCAGATGAGGCAAGTAAACTTTCCTGTGTCAACTTCCAGTCAGCCATTTACATCAATGTCTCCAAGCCAGGGGACAATATCATCACCACCATACCCTACAATGCAAGAAAGGCCACAATATTCATCACAGGTTCCACAAAGTCAAGGTCAAGTTTTTGGAAGATCAATTCAAGGTCAACCAATGATGAGAGGTCCACATCCAGGCCAACAGAATGGAGGTCAGATGCAGCAAGGCATAAGACCAGAAATAATAGGGCAAATGAGAGGTCAAGTAACGCCACAACAAGATGGCCAAATGATCAGAGGTACCTTTTATCCAAATCAGCAGCAGATGATGGGAGGTCGTTTCCCAAACCAGCAGCAAATAATGATGCAGGGCCAGTATTCTAATTATCAGTCGGGTCAAATGATGAGATCTCCATATCCTGGTCAGCCAACAATGATGCGAGGTCCATATCCAAATACCAGTCAGCAGGATAATCTCAGAAGTAGTCATTCAAACCAGGAAGGGGCGGTGACAGATCAAAATAGAGAAGAAAAAGATGGAAGAATGAAAAGTCCTCCAAGTTCCCAACCTGGACTTCCAGAAAGGTCAATGATGCCAGGACAACAGCCTGGTTTTCAGTCTGCGCCAATGATTAGGGGTTTGTTTCCAGGACAACCACATAGACCAATGGCTAGAGGACCTTTCTATGGTCAACCTGAAAGACATATGATGCCAGGTCAAGAAGGACATTTTAGACCAGGTTTTCCATATTCCGCTCAGCAGAGACCAGGTTTACACCCCAATCACATAGGATTTCCACATAGACCACTTCAACCAGGACAACAGATACCTCCTTCACAGATGTCTGGTCCACCAGTCAGCAGTCCAACAATTGGAAGCCCACCAGTACAGGAAACAAACCAACAGTTCTTTCCACGACGACAGTCCCAACCTAGACCACAGATGTCACCTTCTCATACTCCTCAGGCCATTGCTTCAGTAGATAGAGCCCATACAAAAGATGTTCACAGTGATCAAAATGTCAAAAATGAATTAGATCAAACATCACAATCAATTTCTGCAAAAGATGTTCATAAAGCTGCTTTGCCAGCTAAAGAGGATGTTGAATCCACTTCTGTTAAGGAAATTGACAGTCCAAAGAAGAAAATACCAGAGGATTGTTTAGAAACAAGAAAAAATACAGATACTGTCGTCTTGGATACACAGACATCCTCTGAAAAAGATAGAAAAGATCAAGTAGAACAAGCTGCAAAACATAAAAAGGAAAATAATCTTGATTCAAATCAACCAAAAAATATTGAAAAGAATAGTTCAGAAAGTGAAAAACATGATGGACAGATTGTTACTGAATTGCTGTCACAGACAAACTCTAAAATCCTGCCACAAAATCAGGTGACATCATCCAGCTCTGACACAGAAACAGATAAACAAGAAGTCTCACAAGAACAAACAACTGGAATTGAATCAACTTCAGGTAATGAGTCCAGTCCAAAGGTTCCTAAATCTGGTATTGAAATAATGCCTGGACCTCAATCTCAACAGACATTACAGTCCCCTCCAACATCACAACATTCTGGCGCACATCCTGAAGAGGAGACCATAAGAGGACCACAGTCTAATCCTCCAGAAGGGTCCATGATTAGAGGTCCACAACCAAATCCTCCAGAAGGGTCCATGATTAGAGGACCACAGCCTAATCCTCCAGAAGGATCCATGATGAGAGCACCACAGAATAATCCTCCAGAAGAGTCCATGATCAGAGGACCACAGCCTAATCCTCCAGAAGGGTCCATGATTAGAGGACCACAGCCTAATCCTCCTGAAGGGTCCATGATTAGAGGACCACATCCTTACCAGCAGGGAATGTTCAGAGGACAGTTCAATGAAATGATGTCACAAATGAGTAATCAAAGAATGCAGTTTCAACAAGGTTCAATTGGGATGCCACAAAGGCCTAGTATGCAAGTGCCACCCAACTTTGTTGGACAAGTTCCAAGAAATGTCATCCCTAGAATGAGACCAGAGCATATGAGGCCTATGAACCCCAATTTCCAAAGGCCTATGTATGGACCGGGTCCAATGCCTTATCAGCAGCACTCTGGAGTTCCAACTGCTTTTAGCCCAAGACTTGAAATGGGAATGAGAATGCCAAAGAGTTCTGGGCCTGATGAGACAAAGGCAGATAGCCCCAGTAAGTCAAAAATGCAGGAAGGCTCTGATAGTTCTGCTACTTCAACGAATGAACCAACAAAAGCAAAAAAACCAAGAAAACCAAGACAAACTAAAAAGGAAAAAATGAAGGCTCAGGCAGAGTCAAAACCTCAAGCTTCTTCAGGTCCTAATGTACCAGGACAAGAATTTCATCCTCAGCAACAACCTCAGATGGTCCCAGGACCACACTATCAAATGCCAATATCAAGACCGATGCATCAACAGCAAGGACCTTATATGAGACCCCCTTTTGATAACTATGGAATGAATGGGATGAACCAAGGTCCACCAGATTACAACCAGATGAATCCTGGGATGTATGGTCCTCCTCAGATGATGCCTGGGAATGGTGGGCGGGGATTCATGATTGACAACCTGTTAGATAAGCATCCAAGAGTCCAACAGCTAGAACCAATCATCTCACACGAAGAGGAAGATGAATCACCAGTAGAACCAGACCAACAGACATATGAGGGAGAGCAATCGCCTTCTAATGGGGAAAAAGATATGGATGAAATGTCTGACATTGGAGATATTGTTAAATATGTTATGAATCATTAATGAGAATTCTATATTTGAAAGTTTATCATTAGTGAATATTTGTCAAAATTAAATTTTGAAAGAAGTATGAATTAAAAAATGTATAAAGTAGATAAACTAAAATTAACAGCCAAATTGGTAAAGAGCACAAGCATTGCCAAAATGATTTATTTTAAGTTACTAGAAAGACACAAAATACACTTCCTATGTAAATATCTCATTGGGCAAGGGTAGTGCTCTACATTATTGCTCAGGATCTCGTTTGTTGAAAGGTCACGATATTTGGCAAATTTGTCGATTGAATTGAATTTTTTTATTTTCCATCACAGCAATATTTATGAAGAAAACATATTTTAAACTTTTGTTTTTATGGAAAAATCTTAAACATTACCATAAAAGATATAAAAAACCATTTAAAACTTAACCAAAGTTATGAAATGTCTATATTTAGCCTATTCTCAAAATTTTATGTGATCTTTTTGTGTAATTTTCTCATAATGCAATTATTTTAGAAATATCAGAGTGAAAACATTGTCGGTTATAAAGAAATAATCATTGTGTATTAATAAAGAACAAATAGCATATTAGCTCACACACAACTTTTCATTGCATGTGTGTTTCATTTCATAGAGATTGATTTATTGAAAGGGATTGATTTTCTATGAAATTACATGTTCAATCTCTTCATTCATTTATTCAGTAAAATATCATTAATTACAATGTTTCTGCTCAATTTAAGTTGACTGTCTCTATTTATTTTGTGTTTTCTAAAGGGTGTAAATATTTAATGAAATTACTTTCAGTCAAAGTAGATTGATACTTTGAAAATAAGTAGAATGGAAGAATAGAATTTCCTATTAACTGATAGTTAGCAATTGCTTCCTAATATGTACTGATTCACAAATCAATTTCTTTTTGTAAAATAAAATAATTAGTTTTTTTTTCAAAAAGTAGTAGAAATGCCATTCATTTTTTAAGTCGTTTTTAATTTTGCATACTGTAAATTCAGAAATTTTTGTGATGTTTCATTATTGTGAAAATTGCAACAGGATAGGTGTTGCAAAAATAAAACCTTACATTTTAAATGTTGATAGCATTATTTGTATGCAGCATTTTCTAAAATTGCAATAATTTATCTCTCGTTCTTAATCATTGCAATAATTTATCTCTCGTTCTTGATCATTGTTCAACAATCATTATAATAAATGGGTGAACAAATTTCTGAATTACAGTATTTGATTCGGCTTACAAAACAGGTCATCAAAGTGGAGAAAATTAGTTTTCAATGCTTTCTTATCAATATTTCATATTTTTACTGGTAATGTTGTAGTCAGTTTTATCCTATTTCCACTGTCATGAAAAATAAACAATGTTGACTGAATGCCTTTAATTCGTTTCTAAGTTTTTCATAGATAAATGTATATACCAGAAGTGCATTTTGTAATTTATTGATAAACTTGAAAATTTGAACTCAATTAATTTTTGGCTTGCAAATTCAGTCTTTTGTGTACTTTTTATGTAATGTAGGGGGCATTATGGTCAGGTCTGTCTGTTCATCCATTTTTCTATTTGTTTGTCTGTCCGTCCCGCCATTGGTCCTGTCACATTTTATAATTGTGAAAAATAAAAGTTATATAATATTAACAAGTTGATAATGTACCATTATAATGGTAACTTATGAAACTAGATTTTCTACCATTTTGATAAAAGATCAGAAAGACATTAATTATTCTGTTATGTTTTTTTTTATATTTTGCTGCATTTAAGGAGAAAGCAACAAAGCAGGTTTTTAATATGAATATGACTTGTTTTCTTCTTGTGATCTTTATGAATTAAAAAGGATGTATATATACATATATCTATATAAATTAGTCTTATTATTAAATCCATTCCTAGTGTTGTACTCTATATTATTTTGTATTTATAATATATAATTTTTAATAGAAATGTACTCTTGATTCCTTTTATATATCTATGTTTTAAAGACATGTATGTATCATAATCCTATCTCAGATTGTTATTTTAAACACTGTAAAGTTTTCTTTAAACAGTATAAGTTCTAACAATTGATGGGTCTAGATAATCAAACACCATTCATTGTGAAAAGATGATTTTATATTTTCATACTTAATGTGCATGAAATATTTGCTACTGGAAGTTATATACATCAGCCAGAATTTTATACATGTATTTCAGTTATATTATTGAGAAGACAAATTGACCACAACCATCAGGTGGTCAATTTTATTTCAAAAGTTAAAACAGGTGTCTGTTAAAACAATATTATTCATAAGTCCCAGAAATATAGCTGCCCATAATTTTGATGAGCTAAATATCTTCCAAAGAGTTTATGCATTTGTTTGTGCAATACTACCTATACCAATTTTATGAACACACATTTTACAGCAATGCCTGTTTTTGTTATTTTTTTTGTGTTGAGTTAAATTTTCAAACCCTACCAGTCACCGAATAACAAACTCAGACCTTCAAGAGGATGCAATACAAAACAAAAATAATGTAAGTTTTGTTATGTTTTGATTTTTTTGTTGTTATAGTATTTGATTGTTTGTTGTATTTTATATTAAGCAGATGTTAGTGGGTAGAATTTTTGAGTACCGGTATAATAAAATATGAATTATAGTATATTTTTCAGGGAGAGGGAATAAAATTTTAAAAATAAAAAGAAAAGTACAGTTCAGTTAAAAAATCTCTCCATAAGTTTAATAACAACTGTCATGAATGTTAATAGTAAGAAAAAATAAGCACTTGATAGACAAAGGTTAAAGTTCAATTGAAAAGTTTTCTTTCTACTAGTTCAGTACAAACCATAGCATAAATGGCATTTTTTTTCTCATTTGAATGTATTTTTTCATAACTTGAGTTTATGGCATAAAAAGTACCCAAATTGTAATGCATAGTTTGAAGTCTATTACATAGAAGATCGTATTACAATCCTTATACAACATAATCCTTCATCACTATAGCTAGTTACATAAAGTTTGAACATGAGGCATGTCAGTAGTCCTGTAAATACATTTAAAATATTAATGCAGTGCTACTAAATAAATAACAGTTTAACTAAACAAGTACATTTTCTTCTCATTGATTCAACAAATGTTTTTTTTTCTACAATTGGTTATTTAAAGATTAGCACATTTCATTTTGTTCACTTAAATTCATCAAAATATGTAAAAATTAGGAATTCATATTTTCATACCATTGTACTTATATTTCACAAAATTATTTAATTCACTTTGTCACAAAATGAAAATAATTATATGTTGTGATATGGTTTGAGTGTATGTATGAATGTGTCAATATGATCTCAGTATGTAATGTGTATAACAGAGGCTTTTTATTGCCTGCATTGTCATATTGTATATTTCACAATCTCATGTATGTAAAATCTTTTTAAAAAACCAAAAGTAAAGAAATAGTAATTTTTAAATTGTGTTTATTTGTTCTTAATAATGACTTTTACACATTTTTAATTCTGTTGATTTGCACCAATGGAAGTTAAATATATAGTGGGATCACTGTAATAATCTCTGTGAATTTAGAGAAATCCCAGACCATTACCTACTCACATCTTTGTATTTGTTAATGGTATCCATATCTAACAGACAATTCCATTCAAATTGGTGCTAGTGTTCATCTTCAATATGCAACAAGGCGTTCAGTTCTGTGTTGAAGACCTATCTATGCTGTGAGATAAAGACCAATAATAAAAGCAATGTTCATTTGCCTTTGGTTTTGTCAAGTGTGAATAAAGGTTTTGTGTCCTGATATGATACAGCAATGTTCATTTGCCTTTTGTTTTGTCAAGTGTGAATAAAGGTTTTGTGTCCTGATTTGATACAGCAATGTTCATTTGCCTTTTGTTTTGTCAAGTGTGAATAAAGGTTTTGTGTCCTGATTTGATACAGCAATGTTCATTTGCCTTTTGTTTTGTCAATTGTGAATAGAGGTTTTGTGTACTGATTTAACACAGAACTGTTCATTTTCCTTTGGCGTTGTCAAGTTAGTGTGAAGAGAGGTTTCATGTCCTTATTTAACACAGCACTTCATTTGCCTTTCGTTTTGTGAAGTGTGAATAGCGGTTTTGTGTCCTGATTTAATATACCACTGTTCTTTTGCCTGAGTGAATAGTGGTTTTGTGTTCTGATTTGATACAGCACTGTTCATTTGCCTTTGGTTTTGTCCTGCGTACAAAGAGGCTTTGTGTCCTGATTTAATACAGCACTGTCCATTTGCTTTCGGTTTTGTCAAGTGTAAATAGAGGTTTTGTGTCATGATTTAATACAGCACTGTTCATTTGCCTTTGGTTTTGTCAAGTGTAAATAGAGGTTTTGTGTTCTGATTTGATACAGCACTGTTCATTTGCCTTTGGTTTTGTTAAGTGTACATAGAGGTTTGTGTCATGATTTAATACAGCACTGTTCATTTGCCTTTGGTTTTGTCCTGCGTACATAGAGGCTTTGTGTCCTGATTTAATACAGCACTGTTCATTTGCTTTCGGTTTTGTCAAGTGTAAATAGAGGTTTTGTGTCATGATTTAATACAGCACTGTTCATTTGCCTTTGGTTTTGTCAAGTGTAAGAATAAGCTTTGTGTCCTGATTTAATACAGCACTGTTCATTTGCTTTTGGTTTTGTCAAGTGTAAGAATAGGCTTTGTGTCCTGATTTAATACAGCACTGTTCATTTGCTTTTGGTTTTGTCAAGTGTAAGAATAGGCTTTGTGTCCTGATTTAATACAGCACTGTTCATTTGCTTTTGGTTTTGTCAAGTGTAAGAATAGGCTTTGTGTCCTGATTTAATACAGCACTGTTCATTTGCCTTTGGTTTTGTCAAGTGTAAGAATAGGCTTTGTGTCCTGATTTAATACAGCACTGTTCATTTGCTTTTGGTTTTGTCTGTAAGAAAAGGCTTTGTGTCATGATTTAATACAACACTGTTCATTTGCTTTTGGTTTTGTCAAGTGTAAATAGAGGTTTTGTGTCATGATTTAATACAACACTGTTCATTTGCTTTTGGTTTTGTCAAGTGTAAATAGAGGTTTTGTGTCCTGATTTAATACAACACTGTTCATTTGACCTTTGGTTTTGTCAAGTGTAAATAGAGGTTTCGTGTCCTGATTTAAAAGAGCACTGTTCATTTGCCTTTGGTTTTGTCAAGTGTGAATAAAGGTTTTATGTCCTGATTAAATACAGCGATATTCCATTGCTCCATTATTGTCTCCTGGTACTGGGAGTTGTGTCCTGATTTAATACAGAGATTTTCTACCTGGTATCATTCAAGATCATGTTATGAGGGAAGGATGAAACTCCCAATACTATTTACATTACAGTTCATAATTTATGTTCTAGAGGTATTTCTTTGTCTAAGCAATGATGATTTCTTTCAGTTTTTGGAGACAAAATTAAAAACATTTTGAAATGTTTAGTGTCTCCATCTACTTGTACTATTAACAGTTGGGTTTTTTCAGTACAGCTTTTGCAATACCTGTTATTCCTTTCATGTTTTATAATGAAAACCACATAGTGTCTCAGAAGGTTCACATGTCTCTGTGTCTCGTGTACAGGTACAAATGCATTCCTTATTTTAGGACAAATTATTATACAAAAATAAGGAGATGTGGTATGATTACAATGAGACAACTATTTACCAAAGTTCAAATGAAGTGGATGTAAGCAATGATGGGCAACCGTACGGCTTCAACAATGAGAAAAGCCCATACCGTATAGTCGGCTATAAAAGGCCCCGACATGACAAATATGAAACAATTCAATTGAGAAAACGAACGGCCTAATTTAAAAAAAAACAATTTACTGAAAACAAATATGACAGACGTCAACCAACGACAATCATGAACCAAAGGCTCCTATTTGAAAAGAATTGCAAAAGTTCATATTTCTGATATAGACATTTATCCAAAATGGGCCAAAATATTTGACTAATCAATGTAGAATGTTTCCAATGTAGTTGTATTTACATGAGGGGAATAAGAGTTTTTCTTAAATATCTTGCAAGATGAAGAACAGCAGAAAGAGTACTGTAACTTTGATATACAGCTATTTTCAATATTTATTGTGTAAAATAGAAAATACATATTAAAGGTGAAATTACAAATTAATAAGATACTGTAGTAGAAGCTAGCAATTCAATGAAATCCTTACAGTAGTTTGGTACACTTTGCTGGAAAATGAGTTCCCCAAGTACGGAAAAGTGTGGAAAATTACTCAAACAATTCCATAATAGCAGTTGCACAACTTCAACATGAGTTTCAGGTATCTTGGTTGAAAACTGTAGAAATTGATTAACCAAAACGTGTTCCCTCTTTCATAAATGATGATGAAAAATGACCAAAAAAGTTGTCAAGTCTGGAAAATGAGGGGGGGACCCAAAACAATTCCATAATAGCAGGTGCACAATTTCAACATATAGGCGGTCTTCCTGTGAAGTTTCAGGGATCTGGGTTGAAAACTGTAGGAGGAGTTGATTACACTTAGTTATGTATCACCCCCCCCCCCCCCCCCCCCTCCATCATTACCCGACCGACCGCCCTTCAACACCATACTATGCGCCGGTTTTGGACTTCTTCAAATTCCTCTTTATCATAGTTTTTATTTGATCTGATTTTCACATTATGATGCTTAACCACACACTTCTATTTTATTGTACAATAGGTTAAAAAATTATCACTAAGACCAGTACTGACAACCCCTGACTGGTAGATCTTTTAACTTGAATTACAAAGGATATGGTCAAGGAATTAATTAGTCTTGTTAGTTACCCTTGTCGCTTCTGTGATAATCTGCTTCAATCTGAACATGTTGATAACTGTTGTATGCTTGGAACATATATACAGACCATAGAACAGATGTTAAAATATCCCATCATGATTATCTCACAATAGAATCGACTCTGGGCGTTCAGTCAAATTTATTTGCTTAGGGGGCGATAACATGCTCCATTAGTTGGTATACATCGTTATTGCTTTCCTTGCCATTTCATTATACACTTGTGCAATTTCAATGTTGGTTAAATCCTTGAAAAATTGGCATATAACGGGAACGTAATATCGTTGAGAATTCAGTGCTGATTAATCTTTGAAAAGAGTAGGCTGGTGGTTGTGTTATGCATCTTTATCAATTTATTATTACAGTACATAGATGTTTCATAAGGATTCCATCATTTGGAATTGAAGACATCGAGATTGTTTTGAGTTGAAAATTGAATAGAAGACACGTAAAATCTGTGACAAACTTTCTAAAAATTATTTTTATCATCATTTTTCTCAATTTTACCTTATTTAATGATTTTACTATAAAAATTGATATGGTGTTGCCAGATAAATTTCCCGTTTTTTTAATGTAAATAATCACACCCTTTTTTACTCTGCTACTACATCTCCTTACTTTTATTTAGGTTCACTGGCTTCCTTGTTAAGGTATATGAAGAAATACCGCAAAAAGTCGAAATAATCCAAACATCTTTGCCGTTAATTAAGCTGTTTCTTTCAAACTTAATTTAAGAAGTTTTCGCTTCCAACACCATAACAGACGGGAAAAGACATAATAAAAAATGACGGCGATTGACCGTATGATTATCCTATGTTAATCAAACAGAAATTAATGTATCAACAACATATAATTTTTAAGAAAAAAATACATTCTTTGGGGGATTTTTAAAATCATTCAAATATATTTTAGAAAATGAATGAGGGAATGATATTTGGATTTTTTTTATCACTTTAACATGTTTAACATGCCGAAGTTTTGATTATCAGTATAACATGCCAAAGGTTTAATTATCAGTTTAACATGCCGAAGTTTTGATTATCAGTATAACATGCCAAAGGTTCAATTATCAGTTTAACATGCCGAAGTTTTGATTATCAGTATATTAAACATGCCCAAGGTTTAATTTATCAGTTTAACATGCCGAAGTTGATTATCAGTATAACATGCCGAAGTTTTGATTATCAGTTTAACATGCCGAAGTTTTTTTGATTATCAGTATAACATGCCGAAGTTTTGATTATCAGTTTAACATGCCGAAGTTTTGATTATCAGTATAACATGCCAAAGGTTTAATTATCAGTTTAACATGCCGAAGTTTTGATTATCAGTATAACATGCCAAAGGTTCAATTATCAGTTTAACATGCCGAAGTTTTGATTATCAGTATATTAAACATGCCCAAGGTTTAATTTATCAGTTTAACATGCCGAAGTTGATTATCAGTATAACATGCCGAAGTTTTGATTATCAGTTTAACATGCCGAAGTTTTTTTGATTATCAGTATAACATGCCGAAGTCTTCTGCAGTGAAATTCCAGCATTGACAGTTTGTTTACTGATAGCTTCTGTGTATTTCTCATAAGTTCCTTTTTGTGTGCTATTAGGACTGAGCAGTACAATATAATTTGTATTTTCTCTTCATC